TTTGCTTTTTGTTTTTGTGGATTGTTTGACTATTTTTTACAAATCGTTTGCTGAGAATTTCACTTCTTCTTTCTGGAAATGCTTTATAGCAACAACAACAAGTTTGAGACTGAGAGTGTCATCAGTCTTGTCTTTGTAAACCCACTTCAGGTGAACGATACCATTGACGGTGTCACCTTGCTTGATCTTGTTGGTTTTTGATGGTTTGTTGCCCTCATCAAAGATAGCACAATCAGGAGAAATTTGGAGAAAGAGGATTGGGTGGTCACACTTTGCTGTGTTAATCCTGCTTCTAACCGTATTTCCTTCGGATTCGATCTTCTTCTCGATACAACGGATGGATTTACAAATGTCACTGTCAGAAGAAAATTTCAGAGAGTCCTCTTGTCCTTTCTTCACAACATTCATGATATTTGTCTCATCAGTGAATTTTATGTATGGCTCCTTACCATTGATTGTCAGTGATCCACATTTATTCCCATCCTTGATTGTAATTCGACAATCAATGGAGTCAGTGAGAACATCAGCTGTGGCAAACGGGGTTGGCTTCTTGCTTGTCATCTTGGAAAGTTTGTGTAGAATCGTTGTTTATACCTATGACAACCGTTCCTCTAATATAGAATAATTAGGATTCTCATCCAAAGCTGAACCACCCGAAGTTGGCTCAGAAACCGATCCCACATCAGTCCTCGAAGTGAGCCAAGATGGGGTAAATGAAAAAGCTGAAGTTGGCTCACTTTCGATTTTCTCGGAGACAGCAAGTTGACTCACTTTTCTGGAACGGGGTTGAGCCAACATGGGATCAGTGGTTGGAGTTGTAAAATTAGTACTATAGTAGTATAGGGGGAGGGGGAGACTTTGGAGGGAGGCCCGAAGGGCCGATCGACAAAGTCGATTTTGGCTCACCTGGAAGGTGAGCCAGAACCCCCTCCCCCTATACTACTAACATTGCAACGTAGGTGCCCTTCACCCACTTTACGTGGATCACCCACGTACGCGTTTCCGTTACGTGGGAACTAAACCTCCCTACTATCGACTTGCCGGTACGGCGGTAGTACGTGCACCGAACAATAGAGCTGCAGAGAAGAACACAGTACATTGTGTACTAGTATTCAGTGACTACGTTATAATGTGCATGAGCAAAATACTAGTTCTATGCTTGAGAACGGTTTTATTCACAACACCATGAAGTAGGAGTCAAAGCAAAAAGACAACCCAATTTCGGAAATAAATAGAACACTAAATTGAAACAATAGGAGGGCAGAGAAAGTGTTTTTACTCCGAGTTTCACGCACTAAGCGATCATCAGAAAACAGTAATGAGAAATCTGGATCAGTATTGGTTTATATACTCACAAAGCAAAGACTAAGTGTAAATAGCTGCAGCATGGCGCAAATCTAAAAGTTGTGAATGGCGGCAGTGCAAAGCGTGAATGACTGCATCATGAGGCAAATCCAAAAGTAAAAGTGTGAATGACAGCAGTGGTGAAAGGTGACAACCACTGGAGCCGGTTGTCTCTTACTTAAAATTAGGTGATGGCTGTGGATGGTTTGAAGTTCCGAAGGCAGTACCTATTCTCGTGGCGACACTTTGACACAAGCTCACTCCTTTTGTTGAGAGAGAGGTGCTTGGGTGCTTGCGCGATTGCCAATTTTCCGCCAGGCACAGGTTGCACATTTTGCTTTTGTTGCTGTAGGCCGCTGCTCTGCGGTGTACCGCCCATTGAGTGCTGCATGCCTTCCCTTCATCCTTCTTGGTCCAGACGTACTGCGATAGGCGGGTGTCCTTCTCGTGTTGTCTGTGGCGGAATGAGGATTGGTGGTTATAGTAGCGTTGTTTGAATGTTGTTGCATACTCCTTCTTCTCCATACCTGCGGTGACTCTTGCCTTATACACGATGCTCTCCGTTAGACACGCTCCGTCCAGTGGACATGAGTCTTTCGCCCGACAGTTACAAGTCCTGGTGTCGTTGTCACATCCGTTAGCTTGTTTCTTGGGTCGTAGAATCGTGTTATTGTGTTGTTTGATGATAGTGGCCATATTCTGCATGCAACTGTAGCTAACCTTTACCGAGTTCCGGTTGAAGATTTTGTTGAGGCTTGAGCCTTTGGGGAAGTGTTTGGCCACTAGCTGGAGGAAGCGATGTCCGACGTCGGTGCGACGTTCTTGCTAAATGGTGGGTTGAACCATATGATGTTCCGGGGGCGATTCCTTCCCTTCTTCTTTTTTGTCTCGTCCGTTTTACGCTCGTCAAGATACTGTACGTTCTCCCGGTATCCACTCTTCTTCAGCGCGTCACTGTAGATCGGAGTCGCATCTCTGAAGACGTCTTCATCATTGGAAATATCTGTTAGTCTTCTGCTGATCGAAGCAGGCAGGTTCTGGATGATTGTTGGTGGATGATTGACTGGCAGTTGATGTACATCGGCTTGTCGTTCGGTTTCCGGTAAGGGCAGTACTTTCCGGTGGTCAGGTCCAATGTCACGTCCAGAAAGTCGACTCTCTTCAGGTTTGTCTGTATCGTTATCTTCAGTCCGAGGTTCTGGACTATTTTGGTCATCTCCTTTCTTATTCGGTCAGCTTCATGTCCTGATGCATTCCTGAACACAGCCAGGCCGTCGTCACGATACAACCCGGCGTCTCTGCCGTCGAACACGTCCGCTATCATGGCGAGGGCGAAGGCTCCAACAAGCTCACACACCTCAGCCCCATCATAGCACCCCATTGTCACGTCAAAGTGCTCGTTGTGTCTCTTCACCCAGTGCCTCTCCAAGCCAAACAGCAGTGATCGCCTGGCGTGGAATATTATGTCACACTCCTCCTGGGAGATGTCCGTGTAGCGGCGGGCGAATTCGACGGATCTTTGGAGGAGGTCTTCGGAGATTGAGGGGTAGAAATCTATGATGTCAAAGCACACGAATATGCAGTTTTCTTTCTCTGGTATTCTTGAGAACCACTCTATCACCGCTGCCGTGTTCCTCCATGCATTAATCTGCAGCTGAGGGCGGAGCTGTTTTAGAGCGGTATCGAGTATAGACTTGGAGACTATGCCGATTTCACTCTTTGAGGGATTGATGAGCCGGCATGGCAGGGACCGGGAAAAGTTGTCTTCATGATCCTTCAGCGTGATGTATGCATCCTTCTTCGCCATTGCATCCATTCTGTCGTCCAGCTCCAGCGTCGCGGCAATTGTCTGAGCTTCCGAATTGATCTGGTCGTAAGTCTCTGCAGGTGTAGGTTTGTAATGCTTGGTGATGTTGTTGCTCAGCAGTTTTGTGTACTGCTCTTTGTTGACTTCGTAGAGGTTTCTGGTCTTGTCAGCTGGCACGATGATGTCCGGTGATGCTCTGATTTTCTGGATGTCGCTTCGGATTCGTTGCTGAAAGGGATCAGTGACTCCACGAAACTCAATCATCTCAATCATTTTTAACGCATCGTCCTCGAACGCCTTCAGTTCATCGACTTGGGGCGGACATTTCCGGGACTTGAGGCCATAGGTTTCTTTTGGATCGTCGGTTGTCGGTCCTTTCAGGTAGAAAACGCCTTCCACCGCATCCGCTTCAACACGCTTTCAACCTTCGCGATCAGCCTTGTAGTGTAGGCGTCTTCTGAAGGGATGGGAGTGTTCTTCAGTGAGTAGTCCAGATGTAGCGGTCTTGGGTTGTCCATCCTTGAGTTTGAACAGCCAGGGAGAGTGCTCAACCCTGGGAACAGGGGAGCGACCTGTAAATCGCAGTACGTCTGGACCAAGAAGGGAAGGCATGCAGCATTCAATGGGCGGTACACCGCAGAGCAGCGGCCTACAGCAACAAAAGCAAAAGGTGCAACCTGTGCCTGGCGGAAAAATTGGCAATCGCGCTAGCACCCAAGCACCTCTCTCTCAACAAAAGGAGTGTGCTTGTGTCAAAGTGTCGCCACGAGAATAGGTACTACCTTCGGAACTTCAAACCATCCACAGCCATCACCTAATTAAGTAAGAGACAACCGGCTCCAGTTGTTGTCACCTTTCACCACTGCTGTCATTCACACTTTTACTTTTGGATTTGCCTCATGATGCAGTCATTCACGCTTTGCACTGCCGCCATTCACAACTTTTAGATTTGCGCCATGCTGCAGCTATTTGCTTTGTGAGTATAAACCAATACTGATCCAGATTTCTCATTACTGTTTTCTGATGATCGCTTAGTGCGTGAAACTCGGAGTAAAAACACTTTCTCTGTCCTCCTATTGTTTGAACCAGCTCTACCACTCGGTATTGAGCACTCTCTTGGACAGCCTGGAACCTCTCTGCTAAACACTCAATTGAAATTTTAAAATTGAACGCAAAAGCTTCACAAGAAATCGTTACCTACTAAAAATGCCTATCGGCATGCAAAGGCAGAGGCGTGACCGTTCGGTCACGCCTCTGCCCGTGTCAGCAGTGTCAGCAGAGACGGCGGCAATAAGCTGCAAAGGGGCTCCCGACCTTGCGGCGAATTATGTAGGAGGCCCTGCAGCCCCTACAGCACGCGACTGCCCATCGCAGCAGGCAAAATGAAACCCGGGTGCGTAACTCACCCATCACGGCAAAATATACCAAGTCTTTGTTTTTGTCTACAACGAGAGCAGCTAGCGACTTCAGAAATAATTATAGTAGTTACTGTTTCCTTGCCATGCCCGGCACATCCGAGGTCGAAAACACCAGTGGGGTGAATGATGCTCTCTCCACCTGGTTGACTCTGGCACCATACGCGCTATGCTAGTATGGGGAGAGGTGAAGTGGACGAAGGGATCGCCGAATCGCGAAGCCTCCGACTCCGAGCTTTCCTTGTTTGTACTCCTACCATGCCTGCACTGCTACACTGCCCACACAGCCGGCCGAGTCGGCCTTTTGGCTTTATGCATCCACTGTATGCATGATCCTGTCTGCATCCGGTCGGATCTAGCCGTTCAAACCATGTAGGTCTACCAGGCCGGGTAAAACGGATCCGTCTATATGATCTAATCTCCTCAACTTCTCAAGAAGTACTTTTACTTTTTTGTAGTTCTTCTCTTATCAATATCATCAAAGGCTTTAGTATCCCAGGCCAGTGCAGTGTGTGGCCGGCATCAGTTACTCACAGTCACGAGTGGAGTGGGTGCAATCCGATAGAGCCAAGTAACAGTTAGTGAAGGAAAGCATTCAGATATTGAAACCAACTTTGATGTCCCCTTTCCGCCTGAAGTAAAATAAAATTAATGACTGTGTGAACGGCTAGTGTAAGTGCTGAAATGATGGACACGGTGTGGGTGGCCTGGGCCGTGTCGGCCAACGCACTACTCGTCACCTTGGCTCTAATCTCTCTCCCCACTGGCAGCAATGGCCAGTTTTGCTCTGTGTTTAACAATCGCTCTCCTACGCCGCAGCCCGGCTTACGGAATTGCTCGTGGTACAGAGACAGTTCGTGCTGCCGAAATGAGGAGATCGACTCGCTCTTTGACACGGTTGTTCTACCGGACCAAGCTAATAGAAGGTGTCGGAATTTGATAACGTATCTCATGTGCTACGTCTGCGATCCGGCACAGAGTAATTTTTACCAGCAGGAGAGGTTGACGGTGTGCGACCGTTTCTGTGATGATGTGTTGGAGGCGTGCGCTGATGCTGTTTTCGGAGGGAGCCGCCTGGAAACTCGGTTTGGCAGTGATGGAGCTAGATTCTGCAGGGAGCTACGCTTCGAAGTCGGTACGAGTGCTGAAACCTGCTTCAACTTGGCAGAGGACAGGCGAACGCTGCCGCTAAGCTCTGGCGAATCTGTGAGGCCCGCATCAACTCTGCTATATGCACTGGCTGCGTTTGTTCTAACGACTTTCCGCCACATGAGGCCGACATCAGTAGCACTGTTAGTGGTGCTAATCGCAAGCAGTACGTTGGTGAAACCAAGCAGTGGAGCGGTAACAGCGGATAACATTCGTGACATGGCCGCGGCGTTGGAAAATGAACTCATCACCATTGCTAGAGATGGAATAAAACGAGATCGCGTGCAGGACATTTACGAAATGGCTGATCGGCGGCGAAACGCCCTGAACGCAACGTCCATTCTTGGAAATATCGAAAGTCAGCTGGAAAGCCTGTTAAACGATCTGGACTCCGCAGCCAGTCAGCTATCTAGCAGCATTGCAACAGCTCGATCCAACTACCTCCTGTCCCCAGTACAGCCGCTGCCACTTGCCAACCTCTCTAGTGATGTATATGTTGATGCTGACAGTATATCGGCTCTGTCAGCGTTGAACTTGTCCTACAACAGGTAATCAGCTGTACATGCTATTAGTATCAGCTGTGCATGCTGCATTTTGCATACACGCATGGGACATGTACCATGCCATGTACCATGTACAGTGCTGCCAAATACTTTTCGCCCAAAATCGGACACCCTTCACCGCCAAGGCTGGCCACATGGTGCGAATTTTTCTCCTCGGCAAATTTTTTACAGGGAATTCAATATATCCCCTAAAACATCATGAAAATTCGCTTCGTTGCCATGGTAACCCCGGAGTTGTCATGACTTTTGTAATGATTAGTGTGGTCGCACACTGACTCTGTACAGACTGTCAGCGTACATGCCATCCAGCCTGATCCAGGCATGTTAATTTGCACTTCCACAGCCAAGCGCTAGCCTTTTTAGAAGCAAATGTACAGGGATTTGTGCCTTCAGTTGCGCTGAAAAGTGAAAGTACAGGACTTCTGCATAGGAAAGTAATGATCTCCGACATTTTGGCTGCTTTTCGGACGTTTCCCTTTTCGGACCGGTTTTCGGAAGAGCCTTCAAAAATCGGACACTGTCCGAAAAATCGGACGGTTTGGCAGCACTGCATGTATACGCCCGTCGCAAGAGAAGCACGCAAATCTGCAAATGCACTGGATGGGACATGTAGATCTATACTATACTAGTATACAGTCATGCAATACACTGTATCATGTATGGTGCATTCTGCATAATGCATATCGGTCATTATCGGATATGCCGATACTGGTACATGCAATATTTTAAAACAAGTGAAATGTATGTTGCCTTGTTCAGAACCACTACCTTGCAGTTGTGCCTGTGTTGGGTGGAATGAGGTGGGATGCAAGCTTTGGAATGTTTGAATTGACCATATCAGAAAGGCAGCAGCGACTATGCTTTTTGTGGCTAAAATGTTGTTGCTGCTGCTTTTCTCAATGCTCCGGGTCTTTCTGTTGTGTTTGCCCGATCCAGTACTTTCCGCCGTCCGGTGAGCTTTGAGCAGAGTGTGGTGAAAATTCCTGCTGAAGTGACCCGTTCAAGTCGTGAGGTTCAGGAGGCTGTTCAGTGGACAGCTGCTATAAATAGTGTGCTGGCAGAGCTGCAGTCTAAACGTAATGTCAGGTAACCATGGCAACGTCAAGGTGCAAGTGTGTTTCCTTTCGTGTTCTTTTCTCTATTTTCAGGAAAATTGCACGCTCCCTACTTGGTAGAATGGACTCGGATGGAGAGCCAAGAATAAATTTATAGGCAAGAAAAAAGTGGACATTATAGCGTAACTTGTAGTTCCTTGGTCCTTTTTCTTGTCTGTAAATCCCTACTTGGTAGCCTGCACATTTCCTGCAGACTTGACACTTCAGCATATCTGTAGTATGCCGGTAGTCCAGACTGCACCCCCCCCCCCCCCCCACACACACACACCACCCCCCACCCCCTTACTCTCACTGTGTGGTGATAAAGAAAGTTCCAATGCACTGAGTGATTAATCGCACACTTGACTGCTACCCTGAAGGCTGAGATGGGCAGCACACATGGCCGACACATTGTACGAAGCTTAGTACTTGTACTAGTGTGTAGGAGCAATTACCAGTGTTCAATTACCAGTGTTCAATTACCAGTGTTCAATTACCAGTGTTCAATTACCAGTGTTCTCTTCTCATGATTCTCCGTTGTGTGATTGCATTGAAGATGGACTTACTTTGGCTCCGAGACTGGCATATACCGAATTTATCCAGCGTCTGAGTGGCCAAGCACATTTGCTGGCTTCAAGCGTGACTTTGATCCACGTTCACGTCCCTGGTACCTGTCTGCAACATCAGGTCCGAAGGCGGTGGGTATATTTCTGGACTGCAGTGCTTCTATGGAAGACGACCAGCGGTGAGTAAAGTAGTTATAGTTCTCCGCCTAGTTCTCCGCCCAGGGCAGCATCCAGCACTCGTCTAATCATTACTCGTACTAGTCTAACCATCACTCGTCTAACCAATAAGCTGTCAGCTGGGCTGATCAACCATTAGTTGGATTTGAACTAGGGAACACAAGCGTTGTAGTGAAGATTCGACCCCGACAGAAGCCATCAGTTGTTTGGGAAACTTCCACCTACAATACCATGCTACCTTATATTGCCATGAGTTTTAAATACGCGCGCTGCAACCCCCTTTAATTTATATTGGGTTTTGCATCCGTCTCAGGGCTGTAGCACCCGGTTCGGTGAGGGTCGCACCTTTTTTTTCCGGCACATCCCCATCCAGGGTTGGAAACCAGGTAGCCCCTGGTTGAAACAATGTACAGTTTCCCGTCAAGTGTACCATTTGTCCAGCAGAGCGGCATGTGAAGTGTCCCAGTGCTACTGCCCTGTACAGTGTGCAGTGTACAGTGTGCAGTGTGCAGTGTGCAGTGTACAGTGTGCATGGTGGTACAGGGTAAGTAGTGGAAATACAGGGTAGTGGAAATGCAATTCTCTCCTCAGTGCAGACGGGCACCACGTGTCGCCATGTTGGTGATGAGTATTCCTGTGCTGCCGGTATGTTGACATTCCTACTTGCTGTGCTGTAGATGGGACATTGCGGTGCGTACCGTGAGGCAGATTGTGAACACGCTAACACGCGATGACCAGGTCAACATCGTCTGCTCGCGGGGATCTTACTACAATAGTGCGGGGAGATACATCACGGCCAACTCAGTCACTTTGGGATGCAACAAGCAGTCGATGATGCGTGCTACGACGTCTAACCGTGCACAGCTACTTGATGCTTTGGACGGACAGTCACCGTTCGGTAGCGGTGCTCAGCATGAGTAAGATGATGAACTTAATGATCGTACGTGTAGTGCTGTAACAAGCGCCGTTTGCCCTATGGTTTGTCACCTGCTCCATATCTCTGGTGTGTGTGTGTGTGTGTGTGCGCGTGTGTGTGTGTGCGCGTGTGTGTGTGTGTGTGTGTGTGCATCTGTGTGTGTGTGTGTGTGTGTGTGTGTGTGTGTGTGTGTGTGTGTGTGTGTGTGTGTGTGTGTGTGTGCAAGCTGTTGAATGGTGCAATCCCAGCACAAGTTGCTATGGCTTCTGCCGTAGCATTGCTATCATCGCGATGGACGTCAAAAGGTCAAAGGTGTGTGGGTGTGTGTGTGTGTGTGTGTGTGTGTGTGTGTGTGTGTGTGTGCATCTGTGTGTGTGTGTGTGCATCTGTGTGTGTGTGTGTGCATCTGTGTGTGCATCTGTCGCATCCCCGGCTCACAGTGACCGGACCCCGAAATCACTACGAGCGGCGACTGAATAGACGTGTGGCCTCACGACAAGCCCAACACAACCCAGGGGCCAACCAATATAGCTGGCTTGGTCCAAGTTCAACCCCACACGATCAACAGACAGAGACTGTTAGTTTTACGTTGTGAGTAGTATCAAATCCGAGCTCAAAGTAAACGAAGACAGAGAGCTGAGACCGAGTCTCGACTGCTAGACTAGACTAGACTAGACTAGACTAGAACTGAAGTAAAAGAGAGAATGAGAGCTTCTTTTATAGGGTGCTTCAGAGATATATGGCGTGATCATTGCGAGGTAATTCCAGGAATTAGCAGAACAAGTCAAACCGGAATGTGCGCAGCCAGTCAGCAGAAATGCAGAATATACGTACGCCGTACGGTCATCATTCGAGAAGAAAGAGAAAGAAAGACATCGAGAGAAGAAAGACCAAATTGGGACGTGGGGAGCCCGCTCACCCACGTCAGAGTACAATGTGAGTATATGAGGGTCACGTTGGGGAGCCCGCTCACCCAACGTGCCATAGTTCAGCGGCTTCTTATGGTAAGTTCTGCTGCATTCTTGGTCTTGCTTGCGTGATACTCTGACCTCTTGCGCGGTGACGGTTTTGGTTCTTGCACACGTCTCCTGTCTTGCACTTAGCTCTTGTTATACAATGTCATAATTTATTAGTCTTGGCTCTTTGCACGAAGCGCCGAGGCATCGTGGAAACCTGTAGAACGTCGTAGTGACGTGGTTTTGCACAAAGCCTGGGGTCACATTTCCAGGAAGTGAAGAACTTCCAGGAAACGTACAACGCGAGAACCTACCTGACCAGGTTCCGGCCTTGGATCCCATAACGTGTCATGCCAAGAAGGCATGTCACCTACGTGGGAAAGCGCGTGTCGCTCAACCTACATGCTAAGCACGTGGGACAAGACACTGGCCAAACCATGTTGTACTAAAAGGGCATGACAGCTGCAGCACAGAGCTGCTCACTATGTAGATCCTGCTGTCACAGGACAATCAGGCAGCAGTTGTCTTATTCTGGGACGTGACACATCTGTGTGTGTGTGTGTGTGTGTGTGTGTGTGTGTGTGTGTGTGTGTGTGTGTGTGTGTGTGTGTGTGTGTGTGTGTGTGTGTGTGTGTGTGTGTGTGTGTGTGTGTGTGTGTGGTGTGGGTGTGGGTGTCTATTTTCACGTTGGACTGGCTATAGGTCATCTCTGAATGATGTGGTAGGAATGTTCCCAGACGTAACAACCGGCTGTATGAATGTCCTAGTGTTTGTAACCGATGGCAAAGATATTGACGATGATCACTATGCAGACCGCTGCACTGATCATGACCAACAGGGAGGAAGCTCAACCCGTGGCTGCAATATCATTCGTTTGGATCTCGCCGGCATGTGGAGTATTGCAGATCGCGCTCACATTACAGTAGGTACACACGTAGCAGAGAGCACTAACACTGCTCGCCATGTTTCACCACTATCTCCTCTCTCTCTCTATACCGTACACGTACAGTACATCAGGATTGCATGCAATGGACTGTATATAAAGCTATGTTGCTAAACCCTTGCAATGGACTGTACATACCCCCCCCCCCCCCCCCCGTAATACTAGTAGTAGTAGAAGACTATCTGCGTGAACTGATAGAGACTACTTCGAGAAATATCAAAAGTAGATGATGGGCTTTGCTACTGTGATCTAAACCTCTTGCCCATATGTCTGGCAGAGTGGCTCAGTCAGGATCAGTTGATCAGTTGATCAGTTTGTGCTACTTACAAAATTGGCAACCAAACGTCTGCAGTACCTGTGCTCAGTTAGTCACGTGCAGCCACATAGCCGCTAGGATCATGATCAAGGGGGGGGGGGGGCACAAATTTCCCACGAAATTACATTGTACATGCCTCCAAGTCCAACACCTTCCCGACCTACTGACTATGCTGGAGGTTGTGTCAAAAACCGAACTTAGCCAATGCTGATGCGGGGAAACTACTGCTAGTGTTTCAAAATTAACATGTTTCTTTTTCTTGTGCGGACCGTGCGAGTACACGGGGTGGTGTGGTTGCAGTTGCTGTAGATCCTCCTCCTCCTCCTCCTCCTCCTCCTCCTCCTCTTCCCCTTCATTTGCTTACTACTTCGACGTAGTAACTGGTCACCATATTTGAGGTACAGTACGGAGTGGCGAAGTTCCGAATGAGAAGCCTAATAATAATTAGAGCATTATGCACTGTGTGAGAATGCATGTCATGTGTCTGTCTGTCTGTCTGTTTGGCTGCAGAGATCAGCGCGAGTTGTTGCTATCGAGACCGGAGATGAGGGCTCGGAACTTCCGGGAATGATGGCATGTAGCAATGATGGTGTGTATGTTCAGATGCTGAGCACCAGAAACGTTCGCTTTCAACTGTCTCCATACTACTCTTATCTGTCGAGGCTAGGCAATCCAGCCACGGATAGCAGGCAAACCACCTCTCCGTATATAGACGTCAACGGCCTGGGCAGGCTCATCACACTCTCGGTACCAATCTATGATCGGGTTGGTGAAAGGTGCGCAGACCCAGCATGTTGAACACCGTATAGGACTTGCCGAGGCCAAACCTGTGCTGCATATCTAACACAGCATATCTAACACAGCATATCTAACACAGCATATCTAACACAGCATATCTGTACACACTACATGTATGTCGTGGGCCGTGGCTTGTCTGCATCAACAGTCGGATATAATCCAGGATTTCACGGCGTAACACTGGACTGCTGACCATGCAGACTGAGATGTACACTCTGGTGTTCATGTACTCTTGGTGTTGTGCTGCACAGGAATCTGCTGGGTGTTTTCGGTGTTGATGCCGTCCTGGACGATTTGGAGAATACGCTCCTTGACGATCAGTTTGGTCTGTCCTACGGCTTCCTTATCGACACCGAAGGCAGAGCACTGGTGCATCCCAGGCTAACACCAAGTGCTGAGGTAACTTAAAAACGTTATGTGCATGTGTATGTGTGCATGTGTATATGCACGTGTAGTAGTAGTAGTAGTAGTAGTAGTAGTAGTAGTAGTAGTAGTATTCTTTTATTTTCCATCGGAAGCCTCAACAGTGATGAACACAACTCTTAAGAGGGCCGATAACAGAGTAGAGGGGTGTGGGGTGAGAAAAAATATAATAATAATAATAATAATAATAATAATAAGAGATGTTTAAACTAGACTAAACTGATACTTGGAACAATAAAGCAGCAGTAAGCAGTAAGCAGTAAACACAGTTATACAATACAAGCGATGCAGATCAATGAGGCCGTTTGCTGAGAAGAAGATCAAAATACTTCTGAAAAGACGCTGCATCTTTTAGCATGGTCTGAAGGTGCTTAGCAAATGTAGTGCGGTGCTGGGTGCGCCACTCCACAGGCAAAGAATTAAAGAACAGTGCAGCACGATTTGAAAAGGAATTGACACCGTCAGTCGTCCGGAATTTAGATATTGCAATAGCAGCATTAAAAGAGCTTCTTGTTGTCCTAGGGCCGGTTGAAACTTGAGGGAAAAGGTCCGTCAGATTTGGGAGAGGGAAACGACATGATTAACATGGATAAATTTAGCAATGCTACGAATAAGGTAATGTTCAAACGGATCAATCGACAATGTAGCTAACAGCGGCATGACGTCATCTTGTAGTTTTGAGCCACAAGCAGCGCGTACAGAACGACGATAAACGGACGAGAGTCGCTGTCGGTCCTTGGCGGATAGCTTCATTGCAAAGCAAGAGCAGCAGTATAGTAAGTCAGGCAGGATAACAGAGAGGATAAACTGCCGTGTTGCCTTCAAACTTAGTTGCCGAAAACACCGTCGAAGAGCGCCAACTTTTGTGCAAGTCTTCCTAACGATAAAGTCTATGTGACCAGACCAAGAAACATCACTGTCTACAATGACTCCCAGGATTCTCGTGCTAGACACTTGATTCAGAGGCTGTTGATTAAAAACGATTGGAGTTGAGAGGGGTTGAGAAGACTTAGAAATCATCAAAGTTACAGTCTTTGTTGTATTAATGCGCAGCCCAAGCTCGTCTAGATCCACAGAAATTGCAGATAACGAATCAGTAACGGTAGCGACGGCCTCAGCTTGTGTACGTCTGCTGGCATACAACGTCATGTCGTCAGCGAACATCGGGAGCTTACAAGAAAAGGCCTCTGCTGTCAATGGGAGCTTCCGTACATAGATGTTAAATAGAACTGGACCCAGTATGGTGCCCTGTGGCACGCCACTAGTGATTGCCACCAACGGAGATGTTCCAGTGTGGGTTACCACCCGCTGTTGTCTGCCACAAAGGTATGATCGGAACCAGGCCAGGGCCGCTCCCGAAATACCGACAGCTGCGAGAGCAAGAAGAAGCTACTGATGCTTCACGCGTGTATGTACATCTGTCGTTCTGTATGTACGTGTGCGTAGACGTGTAGTTTTCCATGGAATAGTCTTTGTCCTTCACCACAAAATTTAATGATGGTATGAGCAATAGAGGAAAGTTAACCGACTACTAGTACTTGGATGGCTATGATTTAGGCATCTCACGGCCAGTGTTGAAACTTGATACTGTGTCCTTACTCTGTATTATGCTATGCTAACCAGCTGTAAACATGTTGACTGTTCATGTCTGTGTATGTGTGCATGTGTGTGTGTGTGTGTGTGTGTGTGTGTGTGTGCGTGTGCGTGCGTGCTTGCGTGCTTGCGTGCGTGTGTGTGTGTTTGAACAGCTGGTAACTGACCCAGTTTACCCAAGCATACAAGAACTAGAGCAAAACTCACAAGGAGAACCGAGCGCTTTCAGCATGACCCTGGTGGTGAGTCGGGTCTATTATTAGTAATTTATTACATATCCTATCTACACAGCATGGCTCCATGGCTACACATTTGTACAAGTACTCTACATGATTTACTAGGACAGTCCCCGGGGACTTATGTATTCTTATGGGGCACTTCATAACGCAATGAATCTAATCAATGCAAGGAAGTGCGGATGAATCCAACCACAGAAAGAGGTCTAGGTCGCCTAGGCTTACCAAACCACCGTGCCTTGCTCAATCTCCGGACAGCTCGGAACAGGTCCAGAGACTCCAGACTGCTACCAGGAGCTGCCTCTCCCTTCTTTGGTGTACGGCCATGACCTGTTCAAACAAGACTCAGCGGCATGCGAACACTGTCGTCAGCTGACCATGCAAATGAATCACCTGATACAGAATTAATGCTGGGGGGAGGGGGGGGGGGGGGAGGGCAGGGGGTCAGATATCCCTTGTGCTACACAAAAGAGAGGAAGCTGTTTTGCAACTCCCCTGTGCTCCCCTGTGCTATATTGATACTGTCTGACATCGAACTCCGCTATTTTCTGTGTTATGCGCTATGCCGCCCTGTTGTGCTACAGGAAATGATGCGGCAACAGCGTGGTAGCAGCTCTCTGATCACAGGACCACGTCCCCAGCAGCGTGGCTCCATAAGCGACGGTGTGGTGTTCCGCGAAGAAGTGCGTTTCACCTATCACTACTCCGCCATACCCTCTTCACAGTTTGCATTCGCGTTTGTTCTGACCGAGGAGGACACAGACCAAGACACACTCATTGATATTACCTACAACCAATCACAACCGATCAACTATTACCATGAGATAGGTCGGTATGGGTCGGCTGCGCGCAATACGCTTGGATTCAGTACAAATGTCTTCGGCTATGGAACGGCGAATAACCCCCTCGCCATTGCCCAGGATGAATCAACGTTCAAGCTTGCCGCACGAGCCTTCTGCGATCCAACACGGTATTTGCTGTCGGACTTCCCAACTTTCGACAGTGTGGTGTCGTTCTTCAACTCCAACGAGTCCTATGTGTCCTGCGAGAATGGTGGCCTGTATTTGCAAGATATCAGGTACTGTCTGCAGTGTGCACTTGCATCCGTGCCCATTATCCCGGCCCGGCCGTGGAGAATAGTTTTATTTTAATCGGCATGCAGAATGATGTCAATGTATGACGTTATGGGTTCGGCCAGCCAGAAACTCAAGTACGCCAAAGTGTGTACATTGTATCTGGTTAAGGACAGTCAGTAGACAGAATGGAAGAAGCTTTGTTGAAACTCGAAGTTGCACAGCGCTTTAGCTTCTTTCTGTCTCTCCACCGACTATGTGGAAAGCTTTGCCTTATACGTCTTTGCTAGGCACCAACTGTGTGGAAAGCTCTGCTTTATACATCTTTGCTAGGCACCATCCTGGCCTGCCACGGTGCGGTATCTCAGGCATGGTGGTGGCCAGCCACAAGCCAAACTCCCTACTCGTCACGAGTAAGCTGACTGCTGGTTGTGATTCTCAACACTATTGTACAGCCAGTGGTAATGCGGATGTGAGATTTTTGCTTTTGCTTAGATCATGATTGTACTTCCCATTTCAACTTTGATACAGACCGACTGTGTGGGCATCTCAAGCCATTCAGGATTTCTGGAAGAACAACCGCACCGCACGAACAATGGATGAGGTAGCTTGGACGTACTTTGGATCAGCCAACGGTATGTGGCGGAGCTTTCCTGGTTCTCAGTCCCGACGAAGCTACGATCCTTCCCGGTACGTCAGTACTGACTGCTTATCATGTGAATATGACACTTGACAGTATGATTTTGTCATGTGAACATGTGTAATGTGAGTATGTCCCATTTGACTGTGTCCCATGTAAATATGTCCCATTTGACTACTTGTATGTCCCATGTGAATATGTCCCATTGACTATATCCCATGTAAATATGTGTCATGTGACTGGGATCATGTGACTGGGTGTCATGTTACTGTGTGCTATGTGACTACTTTGTCATGGTTGTTGCGAGGACGATGGCCAGTTAGTCGTTTTTAACATAGGGCGCCTGCGGAATGACGTATTCTAATAATTCTAACAGCACCTTTCACCTATGTTAGGGCACACTTCTTGATTATGTGCTTGGGTTGTAAAACATGTGATGGACGATTTTAACCTACAGTTTTTGGTTGGCCGGGACTGTTCTCTGCACTGCCCTGCCTGGCTGGTGATGTTGATTTGCTGCTGTGTGGACCTGTGAGAAGCTTACTAGTACTGGTTCTTTGGATCGCAGTGGGCTTACACTTCTTGCATGTTTTGTTTCTGGCATTTTGACTGTGGAAATGTGAGAGTTGGACTGTAGTCGGCAGGATTACAGAGCTGTGGTAGCGATGGTCTCATTGACCATACTGTCATTTAGAGAATTTGGCAAGCCTCGACCCACTCCCTCGCTCTTCTCTCACACACATGTTGCCATGGCTGGCTATAATCACCCTTACCTCCTCCTTGATTGGCCTTAGCCATGAGTGTGTGCGTGATAATAATGTCTGTTTCTGTGCGTATGTGTGTATGTGTGTGTATATATCTGTAGTCGCCCATGGTATCACCGTGCCCTAGCTAACCCACCATCAGTGTATGCCACATCCGCTGTATATCTGGATGCCGGTGGCGTTGGCAAAGTGGTCACTCTGGCGCAGACCATCTTCCATGGCCGACCGGCTGCAGCCATGGCTGGTCCGTGCACCACCGTGGAAAACTATGCTGGTGGTTGTGCATGCACAGAACACACTCAGTGTACATCACGATACTGTGATCGGGGAACATGCACAAATCAAGCTGTAAGTATACCAGGTGACCTGTGCCGATCCGCTTTACAAACTTTAAACACCCCATCCACCCAAGGACAAGAGTACATACCCCCCCCCCCCCCCCCCAAGAAGGTGCAACTCCAGCTATGGGGTCTGCGACGGCAGAACTTCACATCACGTGATGAACCCGTACACATTATTGGCACCCTGTGCATGATAGATACAGGGTTGTACACACCCCTGCTTTGGGTTCAACTCTCTTCTGGTCACTTTGCACTGCTTGCTAACGTAACCTTTTGAACCATGTCACGTGTTGCGAAGTCCTGCCATCGCAGCATTGAATATAGGTTGTGCAGGCAGTTGCACACCCTTGCCGCTGATGAGGTTGTGCAGGCAATTGCACACTCTTGGGGGTTATGAGATTGTACACTGGCAGTTGCACACTCTTGGGGGTTATCTACTCTTACAAAGACTTATACTGAGTTGTAAGACTAGGTGGATAACAGCAAGAAGTGAAGTTTTTAAACGAATTTAGAGAAAGCAGTTGAATGCTGGCAGTGCCAAGGGAAGGAATCAATGTTGAGATGGTTTCACTAAATTTGTGCACTGACAATGTACTGAGGCTTCAAGTACTTAGCTTCACCGTGATCAGTATGCAGTGCCTATAATGTCGCCCTTGTTCTAGCTAACATACTATGCTAGTGTGTGACAGTGACCTACTCCCTCTCGTGTGTGAATGTATCAGTCTCTGTATGTGATGGTTTCGTCTGTTACCCTGTGCGTTCATGGTGCCCCCTCCCCCCCCCCCCCCCCATGGAGCTTATCTGTGTTACGCATGCTAGTTGTCTCTCTGCCTGCCTGTGCTCGTTGTTACAGATTGCTGGTGTAGCTGCAGTTGATCTGAGATACACACAGTTTGAGGCATTGGTCTCTGCTACGCTGGGCAGTGTGCCTACTGTTAACAATGATCCATGCGCAAACAGCGACAACAGGTACAGTAAAATATTGAAGGTGCTTGGGGAAATTCCGCAGTTGCGTCTTATCTGTAACAGTCCTCGCGGATCTGGCCACAGTTCACCTTATTCGCGGCTCCGAATGTGTGACACTATGAGGTTCATGCCTGTGTCTGAATAGCATGGCTTTGGTTTGTGCGGGTGCTATGACTGTTCACTGCATTCGTGCACGTGGCCGCTCTGCAGGTGTATTCTGGTCAACGATGCTGCTGAGGTTGTGTACGATCAGACAATCAGCAACGTCAGTGACCTGGATCCCAGGAATTTTGAGAATGTTCCACTGGCCTTCCTCCATGGTGGAGTGATGCTGTCACTGATCGATGAGGGCATCTTCACTCGCTTCAGTTTCGTGAATCGCCAAGGCCTCTGCCAAGTCGCCAGATATGCACCATCCGTAAGTGGGTAGCAGGATAGGGTGATACTGCAAGTGCTTAAACTACTCGCCGCTTTGAGCCTTTGGTTTTAAAAACAATCTCCGGACATCTAGCTGTTTCGACCTTATTAGGTCTCATCAGCTGACCTCAGAGTGACAGACCAAACTCATCACAAGAAGGTCTTGTTAACAACAAAGCTTCTTCTTTTTTTTAATTTGCCCATAGACTGGCCCGGCACACTCTTGGAGGTTATGCACTCTTGGTAATGTGGGCTGCTGGGCTGCTGGGCTGCTGGGCAGGCTTTTTTTTTAAAGCTACCGAACCTCGGGTTATATATGTGATGCCAAGAGTACGTGATCCGCAAGAGTGTGCAACTGCTTGTGCATTCTCCATGCAATGCTGCAATGGCAGAGTTTCACATGGCATGATTGTAGGTTACCCTGGCAAATAGTACAAGCGGTGACCACCAGAGAGCTGCAGCCAATGCAGGACAAGCGGTGACCACCAGAGAGCAGAGAGCAGAGAGTTGCACCCAATGCAGGAGTAAAGTACTGTGCCGATACGGCCCGGTAGCTATCCGCTATCCGAATAGTGTGTACGGCCGTTTGTTACCGACTGTATGAAGTTCTGCCGCCGCAGACCCCACAGACTGAAGGTGCACACTCTCGGGGGGGGGGGGGGGGGGAGGGGGAGGAGGGAGGTGGGCTGATTGCCTCCGAGGCCAGCCACTACATTCTCTTGGTAATGAAGGCTGACCACTAACCCGTTCCAGATTCATCAAAACACCCCTTCGAAACACCCCTTCATGAAGCCGTTGTCTACCTGTCACTGGCTGACCCCATCTATCTGTCATTGGCGGACCCGTCTACCTGTCACTGGCGGACCCCTTTCGTCAGTCAACACTGCTCCTACTTCACGCCATGATCACACTCACATTGACATGATGCAGCTACAACTGTATGACTGGGATGTTGCCATGGTTTCTCGTTGAATTGGATGGTTTATGTGAGGAGAGCGTATCGGTATTCTGCTGGGAGGTAATTTTCAAATGGGATACTCGTTGTATATTTGCTTCTTGTTATGCTCACAAATACTGCAGCTGTTCATGTCCATGGTATTGCCACTCGCATTGTCAATCCTATTGTCACTCGTATTGTCACTCGTATTGTCACTCGTATTGTCACTCGTATTGTCACTCGTATTATGTGCCGTAGTGGGTTCTAACTCTAAGGCCATGTCCTGTGTGCCGCATCCCTATGTACGGCATGTTACACCCGGTCAGTTATCAGTGACTATCGCTACGTATGTGTACCTGTGTACAGGTCAGTGATAGAGATCTACTGCTGACTGCTGAGCAGCAGGACAACTACTTTGAGAACCGTGGACCTATTCCACGCTTCCAGAACAACTTTGGCTGTGAACTCGATCAGGTAAGGCCTGATTACTTGGCATGTGATGACTGTGTGTGTGTGTGTGTGTGTGTGTGTGTGCGTGTGCGTATGTGTGTGTGTGTGTGTGTGTGTGTGTGTGTGTGTGTGTGTGTGTGTGTGTGTGTGTGTGTGCGTGTGTGTGCGTGTGTGTATGTGTGTGTGTGTGTGTGTTTGTGTGTATGTGTATGTGTGTGAGTGCACGTGTGTGTGTGTGTGTGTGTGGGATTCACTGGCCAGAAAAAGCCACTTCATAGCTGTGTGGTGTAGACCAGGCTGAATAGTGGCGGTCAATTCTTCAGCCTTGCAAGCTGTTGAATGGTGCAATCCCAGCACAAGCTGCTATGGCTTCTGCTGTAGCATCCAATGGTCCAATGGTGTGTGTGTGTGTGTGTGTGTGTGTGTGTGTGTGTGTGTGTGTGTGTGTGTGTGTGTGTGTGTGTGTGTGTGTGTGTGTGTGTGCATGATGGAAATGTAATGATGCAACAATACCTCCTCTACATTGTACTTGTAACTTGGTGGTGTAGTCGAAAACAGTGACCGTTGTTCTGTGTGCTGCTTAAGTGAGGCATTTCATGCATGGCATGATTTTACTTGAAATCTTAGTTGTCACAGTTCACTGGCCAGTTTGTAATTCAGTTAGCTCCTGATTGCTCACATTGCTGTTGAATAACGTGCTAAATGTAGCAACCATGCAAGCAGGTTGGTGTTGATTGCTGCACTCTTGGCTAGAGCTTGTTTTGTTACCGTATCACTGACACATTGCTCGTTGGCCCGTTGGGTGCAACTTGCTCCCCTCAGTGCACACTCTGACACAGTGTAATGGTGTTGGGTGCAACTTGCTACCAGGCTGTGCACACTCTGACACAGTGCAATGGTGTGTTGGATGCAACTTGCTCCCCTCAGTGCACACCCTGACATAGTGCAATGGTGTGTTGGGTGCAACTTGCTCCCCTCAGTGCACACCCTGACACAGTGTAATGGTGTTGGGTGGATTTTGCGGTATTTTGATTGCACCACGCCTTGCACTTGTAGATTCTCTATCAACGCAACGTCTCCAGTCCCATACCCACAGACTTCAGTCGGACGTTTGAGGGACCATGTGAAGATGGTGTGTATCGCATCGCTCCAGTCGCCAACACCAACCTACTGCTTGTGGTGATTGAGCGTACTCAGGTGAAGCGTGATAACTTTTTCAACTTCAACTGTCACATTTTCAACAAGTAAGTCCGACTAGCTGCCCGGGGTGACTGGTGTGTATTTTTATTTTCTATTTTATTTATCGTCTCCACTTCATCGCACATAATAATGCATAGCCAATACAAGAAAGAGAGGGTGAATCCAACCACGGAAAATAGCATTGTCAAAAGAAGAAAAGGAAGGGAGGTGTCATTTACTGCTCTCTGCTCCTTCAAACTTATAATGATGATCAAATGAGGTGTTTGATGTCACTATAAGTAATGGGTTACTCCTCGCAGGCTTGACTGCCGGTGTTGCTACCTGTCCACGGTACCGTTGGTGAATGAGCGTACTGCCTGGAACACATTACCAATACTAGCGCAATAGCAAGTGCAAAGTACTCCAAGTAGATCAGTGGAGGATTGCTGCGGATATTTGCATTCCTAGTAACCCTACCAAGGTTCTCTATCCGACTGTACCCTGAATCCCGAAAGCTAAAATGTGAGTGTTTGCTTGTAACTATGTGGTTCTGCTGGTCACATAGTGTAATGGCAATGATGTTGTTTTTTTTACATTAATTGTGTGATGGTGTTTGGTTTGTGCTGTCTCTTTGCTTGAAGTGTTGCTCGATCTGGTGGATTCCGCTTGGAGGAGACGGCATGCAGCAGTACGGACGACAGTGCCATAGTACCTAGGATGTGTTTGCAGTTCAGTGGCTTTGTGCCCAGCTGCACATTCAACACCGCTACCACTATTGCATTGTCGCTGGCCATTCTACCACTGTGTTTTGCTGCTAGTGCTATTGTGTGGCTGGTGTAGTTCAGGGTTCCATTAGGCCTCTTGTCAATCTTGTTATATTCAATACACACACACATTAGTCAGTGCAGGTTTTCTTCACTTCGCTTGCATGCGATGCGAGTTTTCTACACGTGTAGGCGATGCCAGTTTCAATGGCTTATTGTTGTGGGTGATCATCGTACACAATCTCCATGCACACTTGCTTTCCTGTCCTTTCTCTTGATCATGACCCGGCTTTGATGATACAGATACACACTTACAAGTAGAAGTTTCCGAGTTTGAGATCTTGTCGCATAATGGCTAAGCCTTTGTGAAACGTTTTCTGCACATGCAAAATTGAAAGTAGACCTGTGCCACACTGGGCCTAAAGTTCTCCACATCCCATGTGATATCCACATCTACCGCATTCTTGCTCAGATTCTGGTGATTGTCAACCAGTCGATGGCCCAGTTCTAGTTGGTAGGCAGTGTTACCATGGTTACTGGTTGCTACTGGGCTGTGCCTACAATTTTTCCACAATAGTCAATAGCTACTGACTAGCTATCCGGTGTAGTGCACCCATCACTATATACTACAGTGTGGTGGTAGTAACTGTTGTTAGCAGAGAACTAAAATACCGTATCGTAGACTGGCTGTGACCCTGGGCCTGGCTGGGCCTGGATCAGCCATATTGTCGGGGGCCACTCATTATGATACAAATGACAATCAAGTTACAGGCAGTCACTGTTCCTATAAGTAGTTAGCACAAACACTCTGATGTAGATGTAGCCTCGCTACATGGACACACACACTCTGATGTAGATGTAGCCTCGCTACATGGACACAAACACTCTGATGTAGATGTAGCCTCGCTACATGGACACACACACAACATCTGAATGGAAAAATAGACAATAGAAAACAGCAAAGCACACAAATTAAACCGGGCATCACAACTTGCAAAGAAGCATCCCATGACTTTGATGGTCAATCAATCAGCGATGAGGCAGAATGCCAGTATGGTTGTTTAGATAGGACAGCAAAACTATACAGCAAGATATGCGGTGTCCCTAAGCATGTGACCAGCAATCAAATACAGTACCACCTTGGGAAAATATGAAAGGTGGCAAAACTGAATAGGGCCTCCCTTGGCAAACTCAAACCAGATTACACTGATGGGTAAGTTACAAACAACGAAAGTGATTGCTGCAAATCATATCAACTTTACAGAACGGACTGAGGTCGGTAAGAAAAAAAATAATAGGAGGAACTCATCATGACACTGTCCAATTTCACCAGCACTTGCACGGGTGTGTGCATGATGCGTGTGCGTGTCTCTGCATGTGTCTGTGCATACGTGTGCGTGTGGTGTGTGTGTGTGTGGGTGCGTGCGCGCGGTGCCTGTGTGTGCATGGCAAGACGATCGGCAGCGCCTTACACAATAGCATAAAGAAAAGAGTAGGTGGTGAATGAATTCATGTACACGGGGGGAGAAATTGATAGATTTACACGGCAACAAACAGCAGCACACATCTACTGATTTCTGTTACTCCACACGTACATGTAGTCAACATCACATTGATCTCGCCGCACACTGAGCCGCTGCGTAGGAATAGCACAGTGTGCGTTCAAGAATGTAGATACGTGTGGTGCTAACCTATCCATTGCCAACTGCAGCATTGGGACTTGAAATCTGTCACCCAAGGTACCCCCGGCTCTACTGCCTGTTCTGTTCACTGATAGTCGTTCATCATAACTTTGCGTTGGCTATACTCGGACATACTCCTTACTCTTGAAATATATACACTGGTTATCGGTCTTTCGACGTGAGCTTCTCGATCAACTCCGCCAACGGCTGCAGCTCTCTCTTATCGATGAGGGTAAACTCCTGTACAAAGAAGATGAAGTGCTTGAAGGACGTGTTCAGATGTGCTTCTTCTCCGAGGGAGACGACTTCTCGGAAATGCTGATGATAGATATGTGCGTAGACGCGGAAGAGTCGTTTTAGGATCGTCTTGCAACTGTTCAGGAAACTCTTGGGAAACGGAACGCCTAGTACACAATAGAAAACCCAGAAAGCAAAACAGAACGATTTGCTAGCCTGTCCAAAAGAGTGCTGAATGCCGAAAGAGGTAATTACAAGAAGTGGAGGATGAAAAACTCGTAACTCCGAGTTTCATGCACAACACTCAGAGTTACAACAAATTAATCATCCTCTACTTCTTGCAAACCCACAACGTGATAACACATCATGCACAGGGCTGGTGGGTGACAGTGAGCCTGCTTACAGCCTTACACAGCACACCAACACATACCAGCACATACCAGTCCAGAGTAATTATTCTTTCAGGTACAGCTGATGCGTGCTTAACACAATAGCCGTGATGGCTAGCTACGCTACTGGAAGTGCACATAACTGTACAGCTCATACTCCCCTGCCCCCCCCCCCCCACACACACACTACCACCAGCAACAGCAGTAGCAGCAGTTGCACGAGCAACTACATGATGCTTAATTAAACAGGCCTGACTGGCAGCAAGGGTTTGCTCCCCACATGCTGGAGCTCACGCTGACTGGCAGAAAGGTCATTGAATGACTATTGATTCGCTCCTACACCTGGCAAGGCTGGCAACAAACGACCATCACTTTGAACACCAGCTTCCCATGGTATAGCACTATGCCACTACGTTCTGTTTGCCTGCCACACGTGCATTCAGTGTACCACTGCTACATGTGTGTAAGTACATCCATTCATACCTCATTGTATACTGCCCAGCACCAGAGCAGCACAACAGTACATTAACGAATGCAAAGACAACTATCTCAGTAACATACACAATATATGAACGCTTCAAGAGCAGTATAGTTGGATAGTCTGCCAGCCATGAGGATCAACTCAAGCAGGCAGGCATGGTAAGATTGGTAACCGTGAATATAGAGAAGCGCCATGCCCCCCCCCCCCCTCTCAACACCTACACACACGCATGCACACACAGCTGCTAAACTGACCGATTTTCGATGGGAAGAGAGTTTCGTCATCTAGTTGATCCTGTACCCAGCTCATGAGATAGTCCGTGTACCGGGGGGCAGAGCATTTTATCGGCTTCTTGATCACCGTACCATCTGCCCAATGATACTCGTACCTGGAAAGATATGAACAACGCATAGCGGTGCACCACCACAACCACTTTAAACATAGCAAAGCAAAGCAAAGCAAGTACAGATGATACAACCATGTCTCTGCCATATTTAGGGGGCTCAGCTACACACACCACTTCAGATGGAAGCAGAAGCAGCAGCACGATCGCGACAGAAATAAAATATAAACACACATACACAGCATCTGATGGTACTGTGGTATTCAGTAAAAAAAAAAAAAAAAAAAAAAACAAGCAGCCGGATCATGTATAATCTGTCCCCGGGGAAAATTGCGATTCCGCGGCCGCGTTTTTTTCCGCGTTTTTGCGATTTTTTAAAAGACTGCGTTTTCCGCGATTTTCCCGCGTTTTTTGAACTTTTTTGTTGCACTACACGTACACACAGTGCACTGTTCGGTCAGCAACGTCTCACCGTGGTGGCTTTTTACTCAAATATGACGAGTGCTTACACCAGAGACTTGTAACTGATTGATTTCACTACATACTCACTGAAAATTGCCGCACATCAATATTATTCACCGCATATTTACCGCAAATTCACCGCAAATTATGCCATATTGTGCCGCGCTTTTCCCCGCGTTTTTTGCGATTTTTTCCGCAATTTTCCCCGGGGACAGTATAATGTATACTGTGCTCATGGCATCGTCGACCCTGGCAAAAGGATAGGTGCTAATGCATGTTCCCATATGCGTGCGTCTCTGTTCTCGGCCCTGTTTTCGAGCCAGTGCCCGCTACGTTTCCTCTGACGTGTCCGTGTGCTACACCACGGCTAGTATGTCACTATGTGTCTACTTCGAAAAGAAGTACCTGAAAAGGTGACTGATGCAGTGCTAGCAAAATACGAGTCGCTGTACCTTCCACCCCCATTATTGGTTTCTAGACTCCACAACAATGAATGGGGCAATTTTCCGGGTGTGGTAAGGATACCATGGATGCATTACCCTAACAAAAATAATAATATTCGCTCTACCCTACTACACCGTGCTGTACCTCTACATTTGCAAACCAACTCAGGGATCTTTTTAAAGACCCAGTGGCGTTTAAGAGTTTCTCGATGATCTTGATTGTTCTTGTACTAAGCTTGACGTCGATTTGGTGTTTGATTACTGCTTGATGCCTGGATTCCAATTTTTTCTTTTCCTTTTCACTTATCCCGTTATTGGCCCTCTTAAGAGTTGTGTATATCACTGTTGAGGCATCCAATGGTAAATAAAATAAATACTACTACTACTACTACACTATATTTGTGATTCATTCACTACTCTTACAAATACATGTACATGATACACTGAGTTTTTAGGTTTCTGTCCAAATGGTATCACACGCTGATCATCACAAGGTAAAATATGTGCACAGGTGGATCCTCCAATGCACGTGATGCATCACGCGCATATGGCTCACGTTGTGCATGAATAGCATAACCAATTCCGTATACTCAAAGTTACCAGACCAGAGAAGGTGGATCTGCTAAGCGAGGTGGGGCCTTCAAAAGTAGTAACAAATACCAGTAGCTATGCTATAAAGCATTGCCCAGGACAGTGCTCTCAGGGCGAGCATTGCATTGTGCTGGCTGCATAAACTCACATCCTGCCAGCATTGCCATATATGTGACCCTACTGTTTTTCAATGCGTGAAGTATAACAAATATGGAGGGAATGGTGCAGTTGCGTTGGGACGCGGCTCTAATCTACCTGCAAATCTACTCGAACAAAAACTTCACCAAAGGCAGCTCCAATTCAAACGTTCAAGGTTAATGATAGCTTGCATTGTCCTCGGTCCTATCGGTAGGACCATCATACACAGACATGCTGCATGGCCCCTGTTCTATCATTGAACTAAAACCTGACCCTAAACTGTTGCTAAGAGGCTAATGACTTGCCTGCGGCCGCACAAGCCCCATCCACCCTAGTGCCTATTGTTGCCCCGCATCCCCTTGTTTCCTGTCTTGTGTCGACATCCCCCCCCCCCTTCATTCCACTTCTCTCTGTGGGGCTGTGTACAAGTGTGTCTCCTGATCAAAAAGAACCCCTGCATGTCTTCTCAGACAATGCTCAGCTGCAGTTGTGGATGATATTGCAGTTACCAAGACTAACTGGATACCTACCGTGGACCTGCCGACATCACTGGACAGTTTTCTGCCGTGCAAAACTCTGTGATAGTGCCGTACAGCATGTTGATCTGATTGAAAAAGTCCACGGCTGCATACACCCACACACGCATGCGCACGCATACACACACACACACACACACACACACACACACACACAAAACACTCATTAGATGCGAGTCCAGCCCGGATCTATCTGTATGGACGGACTTGGGACACAAGCCATTCGGATCCCATCACAAAGGCACCATCACCACTGTGTACGGAGCACCGGCACAAAGTCAAAGGCAAGATGGAGCAGTAACCAGCCACGGACCCTACCTCTTTTAGAGCCTATTCTACCAGTTTCCTCACCTATGACATACCTCCTACAACCCCCCCCCCCCCCCACACACACACACATACATACACCAATCCAGTGGGTGCATCCAATCAGGCAATATTGCTTGGCAGAACCAGCCTACCGTCCTAACATGTTGGGCTGTTTGAGACTTCCGAGCACAGTAAAACTCCCCAAACCCGGACTCTCTAGATCCGGGCACTCCCCAGATCAGGGCACTCCCCAGATCCGGGCACTCCCCAGATCCGGGCACTCCCATCTACAGTGCATGCGCCTGACCAAAGAGTCTCAGAAAATGGCAAAAATGGTCTCGGGTGGAGAGCCAAGGGTAAATTTATAGTAAAGAAAAAAGGACCAAGAAACTACAAGGTACACAACAATGTTATCGCATAAGCTGATTGTTTAGTAACTGGTGGTGTCAGTGGAAATTATAGCGTAACTTGTAGTTTCTTGGTCCCATTTCTTTACTATAAAAAAATGGTGACACTCATGACTCTTTTTTACGGGCGTTTCAGGAACTGGCACTGCCCGTAACTCTGAATGTCCCGAACTCTGAATCATGTACGTTTCGATGTGGAGGGGCCAGAGATCTGGCATATGAAGTCACTATTTCCACAAATATTGGACCCACAGCGTGCGGGCCGGTACTCCGACCCGGCGGTGCCCATAACTGTGAGGTCCGGATAAGAGAGATATTAGTGCACTTGCATGCAATCAGTATTGTATGTACTGAGTTGCGCTCAATTCCACACTACCAACATGCAAGGGCTGATAAGGCGGGAAGTTCCACTGTACATGTTCGACCTCTCTGCAATCCTGAGGAAACAACCATGTGCTAGCAGAGCTCTAAACATTAGATTTGTGAAGCCAAGCAAGACGGTGCGATGGCCAGTTTCGCCAGGTCATATACAAACCGACAACATGCCAAACACATGCATCACCACCAAATCAGGAATTTCCGAACAGTAATGCAGTGATTTGGGACATCTGGGAACCAACCACGTATACAAAAATGCTTGACTATGAAAAAGACCAGCAGTGACAGCAGAGATGCAAATATCCTCCCACTTGCCAGCAACGAAAATTGCAGCGGACGCTTGACGCTGAAGTCAAAACAATAATGACCTGACGCACTGCGTTTCATGGCATGGTGCTAAACCATAATTACTTGTAGTTCGCAGTCATACAAATCGCTTGGGCATTGTCTGATGCAGCGATGGTACTCGGCTCGTCAACAACGCATTTTACAGACCGAAACGAGTGAAAAAAACATGCAGATTCGCGCAAATACACTAGCGATGGTTCACAAAAACAGGAATCGAGCTCAGGCAGATCCGCCACATTATAAGCAAGACACAAGGAGACTTCTGTGCTTCTGCTGTTGACGATATGTCGGCATGCACTTCACATAGACACCATTCTGGCAATGAATAATAATTACAATGAACATGCACGAGCACTGCAATGTCACTGCTATCATTCAGCCAGGAAAACACGAAGTCGAAATCACACAGAGTAACGATAACGGTCGGTTCGTACACAGGACAATAACTTACTGTTCACAGCGACCCATTCGTTGAGGTCTTCACCCTCCGGTAGCATGACCGCCAGGCGAAGATTTCCACTGCCCAGGGTCTGCGCCGCATGCTTCATCAAATCATACTGGTGAGTTCCCTCTGGGATATTCTTTTTCGGCTTGAACGTCTTACTGGCTTTCCCAGAACTGCATACAACACACATAGAACACGGGTCGACAGCAACATGGACAACCGATACGTGTGAAACAATAAAAAGCAGCCGCAGGGCCATCTCCATTTCGGCAAGCGAGTTGAGCAGGATAGGTACTGCTTACAATATTCCTGATATAGCGGCCATCACGGAGAAGACACGATCCCCTAGCTACCCCGCTTCCTCCTCGACGCCACAACCGCACAAGGAAAACAAACCAGCACTACGATCAACTGTAAAAGAAATCCTACTTCGATCCGGTCATCGGTATCCACAAGAGCAACAGCGCCTCGCCCTGTGCTCGCTCTAGGTCAAACAGTTGTTCTCCTCGCTTTTTTTCAAATCCAAGGCTTTGAGCATTCATATCATGATCATGCTATGCAGAAATCGCATTATCGCTCCCAATCATTATTACTAGCGTAGCCGGCCATGGCGTTGAAACTCGAAGATCTGTGACTGTGTCACACTCGCAGAGTGTGCACTGTACTGACTGACTCTTGATATTGATACATGCAGTGATAGCTGATCTGACTGGCAGTGACTGCTATCGATCAAGTAGTAGCTATCATGTATGTTATGTGCTGCATGCTACAGATTTGACTTTTGAGTACAGTGTTATTGTATGACCATGATGACACTGCACTGCCACCTAGTCCTAGATCCTGACTGTGACCTACCTGCCTACTCCAGCCTAGGCTATGGCCGAGTACTTATTCAGTTATTGCTAGGGCTAGGGGTCGATCGTCCATAAATATCAAACTTTTTTCACAAAACGAAAATTTCGTTATGGGGTACCGGGTGCAGTGTGGGAGGGGCCTAGGGGGTGCCCAATTTCGTTTCAGAAAACATTGATATAATGGCCGTAGGGGTAGGAGCGGTTACACACTTTTTTTTACTTGAAACCACGCACCCAATTCGTAAAAGAAGAAAGAAGCAGGAAATGACAAAACAACAGACTAACAACACATTGACTGAATGGGGCTGCAAATGCAACGCAGCGGTGGTGATGGGGACACTTGCGACTCTTGTTGTAGTATGCATACAAATGTCAACATTTTTACATTCTGAGGGGGAGGGAGGGGTTGGGTACGGGTACCCCGTCTAAACTAAAATAATCGTTTGGTGAAAAAAGTTCGATATTTACGGACGGCCCCTTAATGCCTTATAGTAATAGTACTTCGTAGATGTAGCTAAGCTGGCGTAGATCAGCAGGGAGCCATACACGGTATAACGGAGTACATTATGCCATGGGTTTTTTTTACAGCTTTGAGCCACTTGTACGGGCAAAAAAACACATTTTGCGAAGAAAGACACATAAAATGATAGTATTGATTATACAGACTCAGTAAGATCATTGCAGGTTCACCGGATGCGTGCCTCGGCCACCACTAGCACTGCAGGGGACTCAGGCACGGCAGGAGCAAACATGCTCCTTGAGCCATGCAGGCACATGGCACCACAACGAACCAGGGCAAACCCAAGGCGTTTACGCAGCAAGGAGATAACCTGCGCTTATGGCTCCTTGCTCTTCTCAGCCACCATGCCATGCTACGTGTAGGCTATAGGGCTGCCTATGCCCTGTGGCTGTAGTCTGTAGATCAGTCGATCAAATACGAGGTAGTCAGACTCAAGGGAACAACCCAGGCGCTACGTAGTCGTAGATCTACATGCCGTAGATCAACGCCCAGGCAGTAGGGCAGGGATGGAGAACGGAGCATTGCCGGCATTGATTCGTATCGCATATCCATAGGATCCGGCTCCATAAAAAAAAACACGCACACATGCACAGTGCTAGTAATAGTAAAGTGCATGCAATGGGATGGATACCGTGGCCGGGCTTGCAGTTTACCCCATGGCCCACGCAGGCTCACCTGGCCTGGCTCAGCACAAGCGTAGTCAGCATGGTCACGGACGGCGGCAATACTGCCAATAGGTACATGACCCATCATGACATACATCTGTACATGAAACTCATAAGACTTAGTAACAAGATGAACGTACGCAAGCAAACCTAACAGCTGCTATGCTGCGTAGTGCATAAATACGAATTTCGGGCGTGCGTGAGCAGCTCTGCACTTGATCTGCATCAAGCACCATTACAGCAACAGTGCCTACTTGTGTGAAAACTACTAGTATCCAACACAGCAAGCGCCTCAGCAAGAATTAAGGCACCTTGACAGGCACAACAAGACAGCCGTCACATAGACAAACCAAACAGTTGACAGATCACAATATGAAGAATGTCGAACAATAAGGATATGTATAGATATGCCACAGCTGGTGAGATAGCAAATCAAGGCTGATTTTCAAGATAAAATGTACAAACACTGCATGAAGTAAAATAGATACATGTACTATACAGACAGTGTCAGCACACATAGCCATTCACAGGACATTCACAGGACATTCACAGGAGACCGTCGCACATTCGTCCATCATCACCAACATGCGCGTTACATGGCATGTCGATGCGGTGGAGAACACTTGATACTACATGTACTCGGTACCACCAGTACAAGTCGCCAGAGATATAGGCACATGCGGCTCCAAACAGCACAGTGTGCCATCTCAACCTGACTCATGAGTCAGCTGAACGAAATAGACATATCTTTACGCACTAAGGTAAAATAGAGATGAGATCACGGAGCCAGCCGTTGTCATGGAAACAAATGGCGCATCGAGGTAGCATACACCACGGCTAATAGAAATAGGGTAATATCACATAATATATACAAGGAGAGAAGTGCATAGTGAATGCAAGCTCACATTGGCACAGAATATTGAACTGGATAAAGAATCTAAAGAACTAGAAAGAAGAAAATACCTGAGAGGGTGTTGTGTTGAGCGGTCAGTCACCGTATTGTCACCTGCCATTGGTCCGCGGAGGTTGCTTGCTCGGCAGAAGTATCAAGCGACCAGCCTGTCAAATACATTACGCATGTGTACATGACCACCCACGCACACACATAAACGCATAGACGAGAAGAGGAAGCGAACAAGGCATGCTTGGAGCCCGCACAACTCGCGGTCGACAGGAAAATAAATTTTAAATTTTAATTTTAAATTGTGCATCTTATATTATAACATCACTTGTTCATGAGCAGATCATGAAAAAACACAGACAAGAGTCTTTTTAGAGAGGAATCAAGATACTGTACAAGCAACCAAACAGCCATGGAGACACTACAAAGTCCTTACATTGTCGACTGACATGTTATAGTCCTTCAAGACCAGGCGGACCCGATCTGCAATACTGGAGAGCAAAGTGGTCAAGGAGCATAACAACTGACAAACAGCAGTGATGACGGAAATCTCTACACACGCTGGCTGCAAGACAGCCTACAGCAAAAAAAAAATTCACGGTTCGCGTCAGACTCGGTTGCTCTATATAGAGGCCAAGTTTTCCGCACCCGTAGGAACGCCACCACCCTTCAAGGATCAAGGCGCAGATGCAGCTCCTAAAGCGGTGGGAGGCGAGTAGATCAGCTCACCAGCATGTGGTCAAAGACCGAAAATCCCATTCACTGCATCCATGTTTTCCTCGTGCCAGGCCACGAGTTTTCAATTAACTGTGGGTCGCAGCACGGCTGATAAAAAATCCTTCCGCTTCCAAGCAGGACTTGAACCTGGTACCCTCTGTTTCTCAATCATGGTCTTACTCTTAGACCATCCCACTATACCTGCCTACAGCAATGGCGGTGTAAATTCTATCAGTCGTGATGCAGAGATAAGTCAGGAGTATGTGAGAGGAAAGTCAAGTTTGTCAAGAGAAAACATACATGACCAACCTATCTTAGTATAGTGACCAGGAATTGTCTAAGGTACGCACTCAGCATAAATAGTAGTGTCACATCTGTTGGTTCTGTTGAAAAGTATGACAACACACTCCCCAAGCGTACTACATCTATATGTCTACTTGTGCATAAAGTGCCCTGAGCCTGAGGGTGCCAGATGCCAGGAAGCTCGACTTTACCACCGGTGTTGTGTGTAAGTAGCTGCATAAAGCACACAGCACTATACGTGATAAGGAATGTGCAATGAGGATACATAGCTGGCGCTCTGCACCGGTGATGTGCACCAAGCAGCAGAAGAATCACTAGCAAAACAAGGCATAGTAGCAGGCTGGGCTCTGTACATAAGCTTGCTATAACCGAGTGCTGCAGGTTAAAATATACATCAAACAAACAAACATCCAATACTCGTTTTCAGAATTGCATCATTTTTCATGATGCCACCAGCTCTACATAATATATAATGCTTTCGAGCTGCGAGGTCGACCACGCACACTGCAGTTGTGTGTCGACTGTAGAGCCAAGTGCATTACATCACAAAATGGCGTGCTTCTCAAAACCAAGTCTTGACGGAGGTTGACAACTATGAAGTTACACACTTTAAAGAAGAGGTTGGTGTGACTTCGGCGGGACTTGGGGAATTGTGTATTGCTCCCTACGTGGGAGCTCGCGCTTTACCCGCCGACTTGAATTCTCACTTGACTGACTCACGACTGCCATCCAGAGCACACGGGAAGTCCATCCAACCTCGAACGGGGTGAATTCCCCGAAACACTGTGTATTGAGCAGGGAGTGGTACTTTCTTGCAGGTTTGCCGAGTAGAAGGTTCGATGGATTTCTCGTGTGCTCTGGCAGTCGTGAGTCAGTCAAGTGAGAATTCAAGTCGGTGCTCTCCTTATTTTCTTTTAGGACACACTTTTCGTCGCGCGCCTTGAGAATTTCGAGCGCATCCGCATCACTATGAAGTTCTGAAAACACTCAAATATTTCGTAACTCGGCTTTCCCTGAACGGAATCGAGTAATCGAAAGGTCTATTCGCATTAGAAAGTTCTCAGCTGTCGGCTCCAACAAATCGGAAGTTGATCCGAGGTCCAATAGTGGAGTTACGGCACTCGCAAGGTATTTTACGTACCGTTGCAAATTTTCACTTCCGCAATTGGGCGGCAATCATAGTATTTTGACATAGAGGATTCCCCTCTGTTGCGTGACAGTCCGGGCATGCATAGACCTGTGTGACGCCAGGCACAGGTCTTTAGCGGTCAGCTACAGAAGAAAGGAGCGCTCTACGATGAATACTACAAAAATACCATGGATCTTAGTGAATTGTCTCAATTTCCCATTGCGTGTGTCATTGTCCCTGATGAAGGGAAACTAAAGTTGTGGTCCGAACAGCTTTCATTTGTAATGCGTACGGCGATTTTCCAGAACGAATTTGGCAGCTATTGAATCCGATTGGGGTATGGCAAGATGTTGAAAAAACCCGTATTGTGCTCGCCTTGGATAGATAAGGCGAGCGACTTTTTTTTTGGGTGGGGGGTGGGGGGTGGGGGGGTGGGGACTGCTCTCCCACCACTCTCCTTGAGAGGATAGCGAGAGTGATTGTTCACTCTCCTGGATTTTTCTTACACGAAGGTCTGGAGCAACACACAATTACTGAACATAAGTAGTTTGTACTCGAGTCGTGGTACCATTTTTAGACAAAGCACAGCCATGTGGAATATCATCCGAATATGTCCTTGTGACAATGGGTGCTTCTACCCTACGCAGTATATGGACACCGTGTGCCATTCTAAGCGGTATGCTATACAGTACCTGGTCATAATCGAAGTGGTTCCACCAGTGGATAAGTGACATTATCAATAGGATCAACACTAAGGAGAACACAGCTGCACCGGCATAGAACAAACATGGAAACAAACAGTATCAGTATTAGAGCCCAAGTCTTGAGGAAAAGCCCCCCCCCCATTGATACGGTACCTCCCATGCGCGCGGCCCAAATATACACTAGAGATATCACATCAAGCACGGCCGTGTCCGCACATGCATTCCTAAAAAAAGGCTATTGCTGATTGTACACTCCCCGTCCTATATCATCTTGGTCAGGGTGAACGCTCTCGGGTTATTCGTAAACTAATTTGGACAAGACCGCACACGGGCAGCGAACACGTATCAATCTGCAGTTGGTGTCAGTTTGCTGTCATCCATCCTGCTTCCCCTCACCATGATGGCACGCCTCACTGCTTGGCAGAAAGCCTTGCACAGCTATTCCCAATGCCAACATTTCACCAGCAATGGCCACGATACACGAATATCAGCATTACGCATGACCTTGGATTAAAAAACCTTCGGCACTTTATCTGGGAAGACATTATCACCTTTCTGGATTGTGCTGTTGTTCCAGTGTTATCCCAATCCCCAGCAGTACATTCAGAAGCAGAGAAACAGGCTGCTTGATCAGATCGAATTTATAAGAGCTGGAAGCAGCACTGGAATTATTTGACGCCCCGAAATTATTCTACGCATGCGAGTATGGACGCAGCATACTGCTGCTACACTTCAACGCGTATAATAATAATAATAATATTGCGCGGGGTGATACATGCACGCAGACAATCAAGCCCTCGTCAAGTTCATGATTAACACCATGCGCGACCAAGTCGCCACAGGCATGTTTGTTGATGACCTGTGACACAAGCCGCTCACACTGCACAACCTAGACTCGGATGTAGCAGTGAAGCTCTGCCACGCCAAAGAAGCTGAACGATACGCAGGGAGCTTGTTGACCACCGGCGTGACCTCCGCTTCCGAGTGCCTGGATCAAGATATTCAGTCTGTTTAATCGTGGATAAAATCAATGTCACTTGTGTGGCAGGGTATACTCAGCATATGGGATATGATGCTTCTCTCACTTTTGTATAATTTAAGACGAATTTTAAACTACAGCATTGCATGGTGTAACCGGGATATGGCTAACATTAGATTCCGCAAACGTGAAACAGAGTATCATGTTCTTCTAAACAAGAAGAATTTGCTGCCTTGACATGGCTGTAAGTCACATCATTACCTTTCCATCTCCTGGCGTGGGGAGAGATGAAAGAAAGGTTACTTTTAAGCCTCTCCTCGAAATACTTCAAATCTGAATGAAGTTGAAATAAAACATGAATGAAAACGAAACTTAGTTTTCTCATGAAATAGGTGTACAATCCTAACTTTCTCCAGAATTTACCCTCGGACTGCTGTGCGGAGCCTGGAGAGCAATTATTGCTGGACATATCCACACGTTCCAGGTATTTCTCTCGTCTCAGATTACTTCATTGCAGCGTCACTTCTTCAAACACGATCAGCTACATATCAAGACTTCATCTCAATCAAGACTTCATTATCTCGTGAACTGCATCGAGATCGATATCGCGCTTTCGAATTTTCTTTGTAAAAAAAGTCCGATTCGTTTTTTCATACACTACAGTTAGTAGTAGTTAGTACACTACGAGGTGATTTGTAAAAATTTTACATGGCATATTATTTTACAAATCGAGTAAAATAGCATTGTTGAGGGCGATTGCATTCTTCCCATGAATTGTTTTTGTTAGTTCGACAGACAAATGAGTTGCCATTGTATTGTAGTTTGTAAGCATCAGCAGCGTTTTGCGGAATTGTTTTCTTCCACGGCCTTGTGAGTTATCAATCATGGATCGAAATTCGTGAATTTGTGGTCAATGAGGTAAAATATCCCTCAATGGATACTTGAAGGACGTCCAAGAGCCAGAGAGCATATTCTACGGCAGGTGGAAACCCTAGGCTGGTCCCCGAGGCCGGTATTGAGTCTGCCACACTGTCAAGAGTAGCAGGGCTGAAGAAGAGATTAGCCAAAAAGGTGATGGTCAGAAACTGCAATTTTGACAGTAGGTGTATTTCACTCACCCGTCATGAACTTGAGGTGATTCAAATCCAAGTTCGAAGCTGCTGATGCTTATGGCGTACAGGTAAAATAATTAGCTGGTCAGTAGATCTACGTATGAAACTCAGCTTGCTACCTTAGACGTGCTGGTAGAGATTCATGACGGCAAATAGCAAATGCAGAAATGATGTGGCATGAATGTATGTTGGGTGTTGACGGCGGAGCACCCATTGGGGGTGGTCTGCAGTCTTCTTCCAACACAGAAGTATATGAATCAGGTGAAGGAGTCACTGCACTTGTCTTGGAGAGTATGGAAGCTCCGACACTGTCAGTAGGTGCTGGTTAAGTGCACTGTCGTTCAGATGCACGGGGGCACACTGTCGTGGGACGGCTGGAACGCATCATGGCTGGCTGGTATGTTTGATTAGTGTGGTTGTTTCACACATGACGATGAATAGCAAGTTGAAAGAATGGAGCAGCAAGATAAGGTCTGCGTGCTCATGCTCTACAATGCCGGTAGGCGGTCAAAGATTACCTACCGTTTGAACGGGAGTTGACGACGTACCGTGAGAAACCAATATGTTGAGCAACCTGCAAAACCAATCTGCTTTCTCTGCATGTGACTCGCTTCAGATGTATCTTGATTTACCATTGCAAGCTTATTGACACATTTAGGTCATATTTGTTGATGTTAGACCCTATTTTACTGACTTGTAAAATTTTGTACACACTTTTTCTGGGTGAAAAAATGCATGCAAAGCAACCCCACGCTGTGTCTCTCATGTTTGTGTTGTGCTTTCAAGAAGTTCATATATGGATAGAGGACATACAGAGTGACAAAATGAGACCATGCACACTTCAAAACTCGCCAGGGCAACGGAATGAAAGCCTTTTTTACTTTCATGTAAAATTATTACAAATCACCTCGTACGAATAGTACGATCGTAGATCTACGAGACAATCATCATCGATGCATCATCATTGATGATGACATCATACGGTATAGTGCCAGTTGTTGCCACTTGTTGGGTGCTTTTTTGTACTTTATTTTGAGAGTTGACTTGCTCTAGTTATTGTCATTGATTTTTGTCTCTTTCCTCTTGGGAGAAAAACGCAAGGCTAGAGAGCTAGAGTTGAGGGCTAACGTCCATTGCATGGTACTGTGGGAGGAAAAAATTCACCATGGACACTAACGTAGTTGAGAGAGTTGAGGACATGGAGGAGATGGTTGACCTTTTATCTGGTGAGTATTCAATTATGGTACATGTGCATGGATAATACTCTGAATTCTGAGCAGACTGCCACCAGTGGCTTGCGTTCATTCAAAGGATTTCCGTATCAAGAAGCCTTCGCTAAACTGTGTAACAAAGCAGCGCAAAGCTGCAAGGAAGCATCAATACGTGCTTTACGTGACTTACATCCTATTGAATATCCTCCTGCTCCCTTCCCACCCTCCCGCTCCCTTCCCACCCTCCCGCTCCCTTCCCACCATCCTCCCTCTCGCTGTAACTCAGAAACAACTGCATACGAAGACATACCGATTCTGTACGACAATGCTACGGCATTTGTTCAATTTGTGTATCTCAAATTTAGTACACTGTATGGCATTTTTTAAATATTTAAAATAGTTTTCTCGGGGACAAAAATGCTTTGACACTCAAGACAAAAACAGGTTTCAGGCTCCTCACAATCGACGTGTGTCCACGAGTACTTTCCCTACCATCTCGTGGGGGTGGATTACAAGCAAACAAAAACTGGACAAGCACAATGAATTGTGTAGAGCAGAGAGGTGATAGAAACAGTGCAAAGAAGAGTAGCAAGAAACAACCCGGTGAATGAATACTATAGTATATTATTTTCGGTGTAATTTTAATTTCGGTAGAGAATTCAGGCACCTAAATTTAGATTCCACCTAAAGGGCACGAGTATGCACTGCATGTGAAGGGTAGGCTGGTCACCTAATTCTACATTACACCTGAAACCTGGTAGGTCCCTGGTACCGAAATTTAAATACAGTAGAGCCGCGCGCTGAAGAACGTGGAGCCCAAGAATGTCCAGCCTGAAATACTAAGAACGCCACAGCCTAAAGCTAAGAACGGCGTTGTTGGTTTTCTGGGAGCTTGTAGGATACATAATTATGATTTAGTACGCATTGTTTCTAAGAACGTGTTATAAGAACGCAGCCAGATCGCTGAAAAAATAAGAACGTCTCAGGCTAACCCCATGGAAACAGTGTTCTTGGGCGCGCGACTCTACTGTACACCTAAGATTACATGATATGCAGTAACCTCCTACATATAGTAATACACATACATGTAGAAAGAATGGCAAAAGGTACAAGTGTGAAGAAACCAAGCAAGCATTCACCTAACACACGCGTGGAATGTGCGATGGATTGCGACAACACTAGATAACTAAGGGACGAAACTAACGAGTTGTTGACACCTTGCACCTTTTTTCATTCCTTCTATTTTAATTTGCCTACTCTTCTTTGCCCTGTTCCTATCACATCCCTGCTGTATAAATGTCATTGTGCCTGTTCAGTTTCTTTTTGCCTGAATTACACCTGCTATGAAGGCAGTGAAAGTACTCCTGGAGAGGTTTTGAAAATGTTGATTATGAAGAGCCTGAACCTTGTTCGTTTCTTGATTGCCATTGCACATTCTTTGTACATTTGTTCTTGTTGTGTTCATCAGGATCTTTACCTGCTGCGAAAGACCAACCGACTGGCAAGGAAGATCAGCTACCCGACACAGAGTATGATGCAATTATTCTGGGAACAGGTAATGATAATGATGGTGTTCCACGTAGTGTGCTGCTTTTGCGCTTTTTAGTTTGTTGGACACTTGTTTTCCGTTCTTCCCTGCTGTCAATGTTTACTGCTCGATTTCCATGGCTCTATAGTTGTGTTTTTGGATTGCCGCTTACTGCCCAGGACTTGTGGAATCAATAGTGTCAGCTGCGCTTAGTCGCATTGGAAAAGCCGTCCTGCATCTTGATCGGTAAGATGTTGCAAGCAACAGAACTATATGCTGTACTAGACCGAGTCTATCATGTGCATTGACCATCCTTTCTCTCTGCACTCTGATTGTCACATTGCAACATCAGGAGAAGCAGCATCACTCAATTCTGACTTGCACGCATCTTTAAAATTATATTCTGTGCTTGTGGCGGTGTTGTGCTTGCTTAGGAATATGTTTTACGGCGCGGAATGTTCTACTATACCAGTGACCGAGTCTTCACCACTGGGCCCATTCCAGAACATGTGGAGGCGCTTCAATCTTGACAGGAGCCCAAAGGTATGGCCCTATGGTATGCTTTTTTTCATCTATATACCGAGAACCTTATCTGACATACTGGTAGCAACACTATGTTTGGAAAGTACATTTACAAGCTCTTTATTACCTGAAAAAATATATTAACGGTTTGGGACTATATTTACCGCACCCATAGCATCACCACCACCGTCAAGGATAAATGCGTAGGTGCATCTCCTTAGTCCTAAAGCAGTAGAAGGTGAGTAGATGAGCTAAGATCGAGCCCGCCCAAAGTGGTCAAAGACCGAAAATCCCGTTCGCTGCATCTATGTTACCCTCGTGCCAGGCCACGAGTTCCCAATTGGCCGCGGGTCGCAGCACGGCTGGAATAATCCTTTCACTTCCAAGCTCCACTTGCTGTAGTGAACTGAACAATTGTGTCGTTTATGACCTGTATTAAAGTAGCTCTCCTTGACATGCGCACAATGATGCCGTGTACATGAGCATTTTGCTGTCGTCTAGTGCTCTGCTTATACATTCATTCAAAATTAGCACTGCTCACCAACCTCCCGCTAAAATTCCTCTTCGTTTTGTGACTTTCTGTAATTTCTAGTTGCTATATGCCAGAGGAGCCATGGTTGATTTGCTTGTTCAGTCGAAAGTCAGTCGTTATCTGGAGTTCCGTGGTGTTGGTCGCACACTCTCCTACATTGATGGCAAGATGGTGGAGGTAGGTTGATGCTATTAACCCGTGTGTTCCATTCACTTTGTGTACACACGTATAGTCACACACATGCATGCTGAGGAACAAGCACACACACACACACACGCACACACACACACACACACACACACACACACACACACACACACACACACACACACACACACGCACACACACACACATGCGCGCACGCACACACACACACACACACACACACACGCACACACACACACACGCACACACACACACATGCGCACCCACACACACTCCCACACACACACACACACACACACACACGCACACACACACACACACACGCACACACACACACACACACGCACACACACACACACACACACACGCACACACACACGCACACACACACGCACACACACACACACACACACACACACACATGCGCACACACACACACACACACACACACACACACTGCTTGTTTACATTTGTGTTGAAGCAGTTGTGTACTATGTAAATGTACCTATACTGAAGTCAAAGTTCTCAATGTAACTTACGTGGGTATTGTACATGCATGTGTATTGGTGTGCTCATACAGGTCCCCTGTTCTGCTGCGGATGTTTTCAACACTACCCTGCTCAAACTGACTGAGAAGAATGTTATCAAGCGCTTCCTAACTTTCTGCCTGAACCATGACCAGCACACAGCTGACTACCAAGGTAGTATAGCTTGTGTGTATGCGTGTGTGTTTGTCTCCCGCTTCTGGGAGCGACGTGGCCATTTTGTGGCAGTTGCGCATATTAGTAGTAGTAGTGCGTGCGCGCGTGTGTGTGTGTGCGTGTGTGTGCGTGCGTGTGTGCACATGTGTGTGTGCGCGTGCGTGTGTGTGTGTATGTGTTCTTGTTGCCTGCTATGCAGTATCACTACCTTGTCATCGCAATCTCACAGTATATGAGCAGTAGCTTACAGTAATATAGTGAGCAACGACCTAGTTGCAGAGGCTGCATTGCAATTTATCAGCGCTGTGATTCAGTTTGGGTAGAATGCTATTCCGATTTCCAGCCAACCCGTCTGTCTTCGAGTTCGTTGTGTGGGCGTTACCCACACACCGGTGATGATAATTGCGAGTTTTTTTTGTTGTCGCCTTCAAGGCTTCATATTGAGGCACTCTGTTCCTAACTTCCTGTGTTTGTGTATTCGCCTGTGTTGTTCTTGTTCAATCTTACATGTGGCACAGACTTTGCAAGTCGACCTTTCAAGGAGTATCTCTCAGTTTGGCCAGTAGGAAAAAAGCCACAGCTTTCTCCGTTTCTTCAGCGGCTTGTCCTGCACTGCATAGCTATGTGCAGCGAGCAGGTCTCAACAGAAGACGTAAGTTTCTGCTGTGAGTGTAAAGGTCATGATGCACGGCCCATCACTGTGTGTATGTGCTTTGTTTGGATTGGCTAGCAATGCTTGTGATGTCACTTCATACAAAACACTTCAGAAGATGACATAATCGCATACCCGGTAACCTCTGGTGTTACACTGGGTTAGCTTTCTTTGTTGTGTGACAGCTTGACGAATGTGAAGTGATAGGCTGCACATCTTCTTGTAGAGAGTCATCGCTAGATCTGTAGCTATTGCTTTTTCTCTGTGTTGTGGTCTTTGTCCATACATGTACTGCATTTCTTATACGTATATATAATAATTATGTGCATGATGTGGCTATGACAAAACACAGTCTATGATGGGATCATGGGGGAATCACGATCAATAGCCTGTCATAGGATTACCGCAATTGGGCATTGTCCATTGCGCTTTGGGTAGCTATGACTTTCCCAATGCGACCAGACGTGTGGTAGTGCTCCGGTAGTCCTCCGGCAGTGCGCTATGTCATGCATGCACCTTACCATCACCTTACGACTAGCCTGGGAATTTTCAGGGTATGAGCACTTCCAGTCTTTTGTGAGCACTTCCAGTCTTTTGTGTCTTTCATACTGTAAGTGTATTCAAACTGGCTACTGTACACGAATACCGTAAAGTACCGCCAGAGCGCCCCGTCTCGCGAGAGCGCCCCACCTTGATTTTACAGCCAGAGGAAGGAAAATCGTATGGCAGAGTGCAACGAAGTTTGTACGATGTAAGAATCTTAGTGTACTAAGGTCACACTTGGCAGGTTTTTGTGTGGAGCTTGTGTCCGCTCGAAGGTACGGATTGACTGCAAAACGTGCAATATGTGTACAAGGTCCATGTCGTATGACCTACAGACAGCAGACCACCTCCACAATACGACCACGAAAGGATGATATGCCGGGGCGCTCTGGCGGTACTTTACGGTAATACCACGTGTCTGAGTCTGAGAGTAAAAACACTTAAGAACTCGCACCGGCAGCGCATGACAACCGTAGCTATTGTAGCGACTTCCAGGCATCACTTGCCATACTTCTATTATTATGTGCTGTTCGCAGGGACTCAAAGCAACGCAGTACTACCTACGTTCAATAGGCCGCTACGGTAATACACCTTTCCTCTGGCCAATGTACGGCAGTGGTGAACTACCTCAAGCATTTTGCAGGTAAGCTTCTTTTTAATTATTCATTTTATTGCCATCCCAAACCAAGGTGTCCAAAGACAATGATGAAACACTGTCAGAAATTCCAAATCGAGCGGAGCTAAAAAGTTTGCTTCCGCAACTGATTTTCCGTGGGTTTACCTGCTGCACTGAGTATGGAGGTGTGGAGTGCTGCTGGGTAGCTGTGTAGATTGATAGTGTATCTATCAAACCTGTGAAGGATGGGCAGATGTGCAAGTGTGTAATGCATGCATGTCTAGGAAGTAACCAGAACTGTCCCAACTCATAAACGTTTGGTTGGACTGGACTGCCATTGGTTGATTGGTTTAAACCGTTTTGAACCCATGCATCATTATAGAAATTTAAAAAAACTATAGTCTCTATCCCTGTGTGGCCAGAGCAATACCGTCCGTAGCGGGCTAACGATCACCTGCGCTAGTATCCTACCTACTAGTACAGTGCTGGCAACTGAAATCCGACCCCCTGAGCGGTGCGCTCACATCGCAAAGAATGTGAACCCACCGCTCTGGGGGTCGGATTTCTGTTGCCAGCAGTGTACCTTAGCTGATGTACCCACAGATGTACCTGTGTTTGTCTACATTCTCGCTTTTTTTTTGCTTTTTAAACGTATGTACACGGCATCGCCTGACTGTTTCCTTCAAAAAATAACTGTGTGTGCATCTGTATCTATGTGTGCGTGTGTGCGCATGCTTGTGATACCTGGCAGAATGTCAGCCGTGTTTGGAGGCATCTTTGTGCTGAATCGGTCACTCAAATCGGTGGTGGTAACGAAATCAGAGGAGGAACGTTGCTCCGGGGCTGTATGCAACCTTGGTCAGAAGTTGAAATGCAAGTAAGTTTTAGGTGGACTCACTGAAGCATCTGTATGTTTTATACACCAAGTTTTTTGCCTCTGCTGGTGTGCAATGATGATCACTGTACCCTATGTTGGCACTCTGGCAGTTGGTGGATAGTGGCTCTGCTGCTGTTACTGCTGTTACTGTTGCTGCAGACATGGGTACATCTGAGCAAGCACAAGCAGTGCATTCTCATTGATTTCTGCTGCTCGTGTTTGTGATGGTTGGCCTAGAGACAATGTTTATGTCATCAGCGGTGGGAACATCAGGATTGGCTGGAGGTTTTGCCTTCTTCCACTCTGTACTCTCCTCTCTCTCTCGTTTCTCTCTCTCTTCTCCCTGCTCACTCTACGCAGCTTGTTTGTAAGCAAGCATGTGTGGTGTGTGAGGCATGTTGCTTGGAATAGCAGCTGCTCCAGTACAGGGTCAAGTACCACTGCTGCACCTTCCACGGTGTGTGCGTGTGTGTCACGTGTGTGTGTCCAGTTCCATGGCGAGCGGTGTGGACTGGTTTGATGATTGCGATCTTCCTTCGTATCGCCATGACCAGTTGTGCCCTTCCTGGAACAAACTTTTTTCTTCTTTTTTTCTTTTTGCACCCTCTGACTGAGGTGCATTGCACCTACAAGCATTTTTTTTTTTATTCTCCCAGTTAGTACATTATGTCGATAGGTTAGGGGTGGTGGAATTTAACATGCACTGCTGGGTATGCATGACACACTGTACATTCTCTGTCTTTGTCTTGCTGCACAATCAACTTCTCCTGTTCGCTCTCTGTTTGCTTATGCCTGCCGAAACAATGCTTGCTGATTTACTTGCTTTTTCAGTGACACCACCATCTTGGAGCTCCCAGGCATCACAGTATATTTTAGTCTACTGTAGACTTCTTGAATGCGATGTGTATACCTGCTCTGTTCAGGCAGTGATCATAAGCTCACTATGCGACGTTTGTTTGTGTTTTCTTCTCTTTCTAAAAAAAAAAAAAAAAAAAAAAAAAAAAAGGTGGATAGTGATGAACAAGGAGTACAGCCCGTCGTCATGGCAAGTCCGGTCGGAAGCTCAGGCGTCATCACATGGGACAGACAGTCATACTGACAGAAACTCGTGAGTTGTCCACGTTTTCTTTCCTACAGCTTTCTGTTGTAATCGGCTGTAGGGATTTCACCTGTCATACTGTTGCGTGTGCTTCAAAGTACTTTTTGAATGAATAGAATCCTTATGTGCACGGTGAATCAATTCTTGGACATTTGGGGGCGTTTTGGTTGCTGAGAACTGTGTTTTGGTTGCTGAGAACTGTGCTGGTTTATCGAGTGTGCTGACTTCTGGATTACTGCATTAGCAAGGGTTGTGACTGTGCATAGCAACATTAGCAAGGGTTGTGACTGTGCATAGCAACATTAGCAAGGGGTGACTGTGCATAGCAACATTAGCAAGGGTTGTGACTGTGCATAGCAACATTAGCAAGGGGTGACTGTGTGTGATGATGGCAACTCTATTTTTGGTATCCGTCACTGTACTGAGAGCGCAGAAAGTGTGAGAGGCTGCATAGCTTGTAATGACGGCACAGATAATATGAGAGTCATGCAGATGTTACAGCTGTAGTAACACTGTATCAGTGCGGTCGTGTCCAGTACAGTTCTCTGTGCTTCTTGTGATCAGTGTCATCTCCATGTGAAAGGTACCGGAGTGGCGTGTGCCTGATTGAAGGCATGTACTGTTTCTGATGTGCTGACTGCTGTGTGTGTGTGTGTTTGTATGTATGTATGTCTGTATGCCTGTCTGTCTGTCTGTTTGTATGTGTACGTGTGTGTGTGTGCGCGTGTATCTGTCTGTCTGTTTGTCTGTGTATGTGTGTGTGTGGTTCAGGGTTTCTCGGCTTGTGTTGATCACGGACCGGTCCTTATCTCCGTCCTCATCCGACGGTGTTGAAGATGTAAGTTCAGATTTCAGCAGTACAGAATACTGAGCTGTACTGAATGAACATGAGCACATTTCCCTTTTCCTATTTCTACTCACTGCTGGCACTAGTTTCTTACACTGTAGGATTGTGGTACGTCAGTCACAGCAAGCGCACAGCAAACGCACAGCAAAGGCACGCAGAGAGATTAGATTGTGTATTGCTTGCCATGATCCGTTCAGCACACAAGTACTTGACGTAGCAGCAGCGCACACACTCTCAGAACAGCTTCAGTTGCTACGGTGAACACAACATCGTGCTAGAATGCTACAATGATTTCAGTAATACAGGCACCGTGAAAGGATCCAGACTTGTTCTTATATGCTACCACCTTCCCTTTGTTCTGTCTTTAAAATTCTTTGGCTTGCACAAATAGAGTACCGGTAGCTGTGTTCTGGTGATATGTTGTGTATTTAGCCGTTCCTGCTCACCATTCCGCCAAGCGAGGAAATGAAGACACAACATGTTGCGCATTTGCTAGAGCTACCCTCCTCTACTGGAGCATGTCCAAGTGGCTGCTGTGAGTATTTAGCAGCATGTTGTGCATGTTGTAGGTTCTTAGAATTACCTTCTGCCTTCGGCACTACTGTTTGTGGTTCATTGTAGTGTGCTGCAGCATACAGTTAGTTTGTGGGCTGACCAATTGCTGAATCTGACGAGAATGAGTATGGACCTCCTACTTGTATGATTCTAGTCTATGAGAGTCAAAACTGCTGCAGACCTATCAATAGTATCATGCGTGTGCTATCATGCATGTGCTATCATGCTGCAGAGCTATCATGCATGTGCAGCAGCCATCAAACTCACTATGTTTGATCAAGATGATGGGCTTGATGTAGAACAACAGAGTGTACTGTATTCATTGATGCTACATATGTTCATTGTGAAGGTGTAGCATTGTGTGTGTGTATCCTGTGCTGTAGCAGGCACCATGCAAACAATGCGTGATTGTACATCCCAAGAAAGATGCAGTGTCTTGTGCTGTATGCCGTTAGGAGTCTTTCTGACGCATTCTTTTGCTCCCTGCTTTGTCTAGATATTGTACAAATGACGAGCCTTGGGTCCACTGCGGAAGAAGACTTCTCCGCCATTGTGAAAACATTCTTCAACAGCAAACGTCCTGTATCCACAACTCCTCCGCCCTCGTCACCACCAGTGTCAACTGAAGCTAGTTCTAGTGCATCTGAGGGAACTGAAGACACTGCTGCTCGATCAGATGCCACACCAGCGGAAGCAGCGGCAGAGGGAACAGCAGCACCCTGTACAGCTGCCACACCGGAAGATGACACAGCCATAAGCAGTGACAAACCAGAATTGGACAACGACTGTGCAGATCCCGGCAACACCGACGTTTCTGGAACCCCTGCTGCCTCCGAGAGTTCAGCTGAGCAAGAAGGTGAGTTTGAATGAATGACATCCATCAGGAAGAGTGATCCATGTACAAACCATTTGGAGTGTGTGTGTGTGTGTGTGGGGGGGGGGGGGGTGTGTGTGTGTGTGTGTGTGTGTGTGTGTGTGTGTGTGTGTGTGTGCGTGTGTGTGGGTGTGTGTGGGTGTGGGTGTGGGTGTGTGGGTGGGGGTTCACTGCACGGGAGTTATCATGTCCACACCCATGTAAGGTTGTTTGGTTGTAGTGTCCGCGAACATGTTGTGCTTTCTGTACCTTGTGCACATGTTCATGGTGTTGTTGGTGTGTTCTTTGTCCTACTGTATCAGATACCCGTCCAGTAATCTACGAGCGTTTCTATTTCAATCAGAGCAATCCTGTTTGCACACCGGTCACTGCATCCGGGGTTCACATAAAAAACATATTCGTCACAACACCAACCAATGCTGAGCTGGGGTATTCATCCCTTGTGAAAGAGGTAAGTTGATATAGTCATGTGTGTTGCTGTCAATGTCGCTGATAATGCTAGTCCTATCTCTTTGTACGCCGTGCAGCAGCAGCAACAGTTTTCTACATACCGGTACACAGTCAAGTACCTGTAGAGTACCCCGTCTCTGAAGAGTACCCACCTTGATGCACAGTCAGCGCAAGGAACAGTGCATCACAGAGTGCGACCGGCGCTACTTGTAATATGATGTACCTTTAAACTGCTGTATATCCATGGCATGATTGATCCTTTCTGTTTCAATGCAGCAGCAGTTACTGTATGTGCTTTGCCCAGTGCTTGGATCACACTACATTCCACCACTTGGACCATACTGCAACGTGGTATGGTCTTTGTACATCTGTTCTAACTGGCCATTGCTCTGTCATTCTTGCCTGGTTGCCCCACAATAGGCACGTGAAGTGTTTGACACGATATGCCCCGGAGAGGAGTTCCTACCGCCAGCGCCAGAGCCGGAGGATATTTGTTTTGATCGGCCTGGCGATGACGGCGACAAGGCAAAGGAGTCTACAGATGCAGGTAGCTCTGAGCAACGTGCAGACGACAATGACCATCAGGAAAGCACAGAAGCCGGACAGTGTGACGAGCAAGAGACTGAGTGCAAGCAGCCATCAGGCTCCTCCAGCGCAGAGAAGAGCAGCAGTGCTGGTGGAGCAGAAGCGTCAACTGAAGGTAACTCCTCCTGCTCTGACATGCCAGTAAGTACAGACGCCACCGGCACATCAGATTGATATGTCCTTTATCTTATGCCACACTATGAGTAACGGCTTGGCACAGGCAAGGCCAAGCTATGTGCACAACACCCAGCATAACATTGGGATAGATACTGAATGAGCTGTAGGAATTTGTCCCTTGTATAATTATATCCATGCATAGTCCGCTAGTTTCTAAGAAAGTTTTGATATGTTTCTAAGGACGATGCAGCACACACAGTTCATAGGAGCATGCATTTTAAAAGACAGTACCGCAGGCTGTATTGTGTCCGAATCCACATAACACTTACTACTGCTGGTAGTAGTAGTGATGAGACTGGTGAACCTGATGAAGGAATTGTCCGCTGCTCTCTGTGTTACGCTATGACTTGCTGCTATCGCTGAGCGCTGAATGCATGAACTTCATCCTCACTGCTGTGCAGTGCCAAGAATGGAGAGCTGCTAGATTTTTTCTTTCAATTCCAATGCATGCAATGCAGACAGAGCTTATTTGGTATTTTCCAGAAGAAGGAAAGAAAATGTGATCTTCTCTTGAACATTGTACCCATGCCTGACACTTGACGTCTACTGGAACTGTAGTTCAGAATGTTTTTGAAATCAAGCATTGCAGTCCCTTGGCCATGTGATTGGGGAGCTGCTGTATTTCCAATTCCATTTGCCTCTGTTGTCAACAGGGGTGAGCCATGCTTGCTGTTGTGGGATATGGCTAGACAATCACTCACTAGCTCAGTACAGCCATACCAAGAGTATATAACCCCCCAACAGTGTGCAACTCCTGATACCTTTTCTATGGGGTACGCCAACGGCGAAAACTCACATCACGTGGTGCAGTTTCGCAGTTGTACGTTTCCAGCCCGTTTTTTTGCGAGCAGCGGAGTAATAAAAAAAGCACTCTCTGACAGAAACTCACTGCGGGTATGCAAATCCCCAGCATGATTGTGGCAGATAATCGGATTGCGCGCACGCTATCCTCCGTTTGTACGTAGTACGAACTTGCCTGAGACACTTGATGTGAGTTTTCGCCGTCGGAGACCCCATATGCAGAGTTGCACACTCTTGGGGGGTTATATACTCTTGGCCATACCCGTAGTAAACTGACTGAGCTGTCCAGGTGATGGAGGATTACCATGACAAAGGAGTCCACTTTCACCAGACTGCATAACGGGGAGAGGGGATCAACGTCACACTAACTGTATAACTGTGATCAGTACTTTGAGTTTGAAGTACATTGTGAGGTGATTTTGTCTACAGAGCTATATCTCACCTTGCTTGTATGTGCTTCAAGTACTTGTGTGGACAAGCAGGCATGTGAGTACATACACACTACAGCTATGCATGTACCGGTACTGCTGCATGTTGTACCCTTCTTTGCTCGCCATACACTAGTATGTCATGCCATTGGCACTGGGCATGTCCCCAGATGGGGCACTCAATATGCATAATACACATACACTGACTAGTGTTTGTACTACTAGTACACGAAACTGGGAGTCCTCTGTTGTACTGCATTGTGTACATACACACATGCAGTAGGTATCGGTTATAGCGTGGGTGTTTGAAAAGCGACTTTCTATTCTTATTTCCGATATTTCTTACACACGATAAATCAAGTGTGACATTATCACGTCAAATGATGTGTGGTTTTGTAAAAAAATAAAATAAAATCATAATTATGCACGTGCGCAGAGGCAGGAAGACCATTGTACATGCACTGAACATAGTGCTCCTGTGCATCATACTGTACAGGTAGGCTTACCATGTGGCTATGCAACATGAGTTACATGACCACACCAGTTGAACCTGCAGCATGATAGCACTACGACGCAACGCGAGTCAGATCAGAACTGCATTGGACAGATGTTATTACTACAGGCGATAATCTTTGTACTAATCTGGCATGTTTCGCTACACAAAGTCCACTCTTAGTCTTAGGACCGATATATTCTACTGTACGATAAAATTGCTTGTAAGAATAAATGTGCACTTGAAACCCCTGTTACCGGTATGATTATGAAAACATGAGTTCATTCCTTTACACGACCACACTATAAGTATAACCGATACCCACTGTACATGTAGTGCTGCAGTGTAGTGCATGTAGTGCTGCAGTGTAGTGCATGTAGTGCTGCAGTGTAGTGCATGTACTCTTCTCCCCCAACCTACATGTACACTGGCACATTGCAAGGTACCACTAGTATGTACTCAGTGCATACAGTGCATACTGGAGGAGCCTGAGAGCACAAACACTGGTGATCCGGACTAGTAAGACTATTGTGAAAATAGCTTCCTGGTCTGCTGGGTTCTAGAAAATACGGTATACTTGTAAGTTGTAGCATTATGATATCGGAATGAGATATAAGCGTGATCATATGATGGTGGTCATTCTCAAGAGTCAAGCTGGCTGCTGTATACCAACAGCTATGGGAAGAAGGGCAAATGTGGGAGCTCAAGGTCAGCTGAATACCAACAGCTATGGGAAGAAGGGCAAATGTGGGAGCTCAAGGTCAGCTGAATACCAACAGCTATGGGAAGAAGGGCAAATGTGGGAGCTCAAGGTCAGCAATAAATCATCGCCATAACTTACTGACTAGTTTCAATTGCAGATGATATGCAGTCAGAAACTTGACTACCTCAACAAGGAAAAGAAGATGGTGATGATGATGACAAATTCCTTTCCTATAACGTTACAACTGCACAGGGATATATCTGAGGAAGGTTCTCAGTTGGTTGCAGAAGTTCGTCAGTCTCAGTTGGTTGCAGAAGTTCGTTCTCAGTTGGTTACATACAGCAATGATGATAACATGCTGAGCATGGTAGTGAGGAGTAAGCTGTGATCTGGCATGGCTGCAGAGGGTGCAGAGGATGGTGTTGGCAGCGGGCTCGTTACCACTCTCCGTGCTTTGAAGTGGATGAGCCAACGCGGAAGTGTTGTTGTTGTTGCCGATCGTAGCACCTGTGTTTGGGTGGCTGGAAGAACATGGTGCGTTGTCTGGTCCATGGCGGGAGTAGGTGTTGTCTGGTCAGTGCTGGGAGAAGGTGCTGTTCTTGGCAATCCTGCAGTACTGCTATCTACATGTTCTGGCAGTTCAGCGACAGCTTGTGCTGTAGTGACCAGTGTGGAGGATGTGAGTAGTTCAGTCATTTCTTTCACAGGTAACTGCAGGATATCTACCGCAGCTATTGCTGCTGTTGTCGTGATGCGAACTGTTTCCCGGATTGCTGTTGTTGAGAAGGAGCCATCTGTTGTGGGGGACAAGAACACACGTGCAGGCACACACGCACGCGAGCACACACACACACACAAACACTATTGTCAGCTCGGTTGCAAACCGAAATACCTACATATATTCAGATCGTTTTAATGCAGCCATGGTGGACATTTTATGGGTAATTTTCAGGCATGCCCCCCCCCCCCCCCCCACACACACGTGCACCTGATGCAGTGCTTGGGCTTACCACATGTGAAGTCCGTACGTTGCTCCATCACTTTCCTTCCCCGGTTTGCTGCTGGTGCAGCACAGCGGATATCGTCCTCATCGGGGTAGTCGAACGGCCAGTCCTTCTCTGGCACACTGCTGTCCAGGAAGAAGAGGTCGAACAGTTTCGCATTCAGTTGCTCTTGCCGAAGCTTGATTGCTAGCCACTCCAGATGACAGTCGCAGAGCAGTGGATTCTTCTGCAGATACCTGGAGTGAGAAAAGCAGAGAATAGCCATGTGAATGGTAAGCATTAGGTCACAGTTTCAAGTTTGACAGGCTTGACGTTAATGTATACTTGTAGTGGGGTTAGTGGGGATAGCAAGTTACTATGATGCAGAACATGTTTATTCCGGTCGGTATGCTTTACTCATTATCAGTACTGCCAGGGTTACCTGACCACACCGAACACAGCTCTCAGGACGGCAGATTGGTACACAGAAGTCGTAAGTCATAGTAAGCAGCACCAGTGACAGAGTACGCACTCACACCACACTCACACCACACTCACACACATACACGCACACATACACACACATACATTTACCCCCCCCCCACACACACACACACACTCACACAGTACTTGTCCGATCTACTTACAATCTCTGCAGCTTTCCACGAGGTGGCAATGCGGTGAAATGAACCTTTTGGATCATGTTGGAAAACAAGTTCCTGAAATTCACACCAGCAAGAGAGAGAGAGAGAGAGAGAGAAAGGAGAAGCACAATGAGAAACCCTGCCATGGCATAGGCAAAATTATGCCCCCAAATGTCATCATGCAATGCAACCAAATTAATTGAAGGAGCTGGAAAAGAAAGGCTTGTTCACCTTGGGCCTAACCCCAACAAATACACATAAGCAGACCACAGACTCCAACAAAATACGCATAGGTGGTTGAACTGCACAACAAAATACGCATAGGTGGTTGAACTGCAACTGCCTGTAAACTTACAGAGTTGTCAAGCTTGCCAGCGTCGCAAATTGCAATGCCGCTATTTCTCTCAACCTGTTGTCCAGCAGACTCCTGTCACACAGATAACAGTCCATCCAACATACCATAATCCAACATACCATATAAGGCCAAAACAAAAAATAGGCTTGTTTCCGGTCGGCAACCCCTCAAAAAGGAGACTCGGTCGGCCGGAATGAAACTTTTTTTGGATACTTTTTTTTGGTTCCTCAATCATTGTGGTATTGATGGACAAGAGCACCTACACATGTACATTGTACATATATCATGGCAAGGGTCAATGTCAGAGTTGACTGACTCACTGTTCTTGTACAGCATGTGGTGTATTCCTGTTTTCGTACATCCTGAGAAATCAAGCAAACAGTTCGAGTCCTTCCAGCTCCGTTATTCTAGCTCGTATCGACCCCGGAGGTTTTCGAGCCGACAGCTGAGAATCTCTGCTACCTTGTAGGTGTTTCGATTGTGGAATTCGATTGAGATTTGACTGAGTTATGACTCGTTCAGTGCACTTGCACACATGGCATTGCCACCGTTTGTATACATTTGGGACCAAAAAAAAGTTTCAGAATTTGGGAAAAAGTGGCCCGGTCGGCCGACCGGAAACAAGGTCATTATTTGTTTGGGCCTAACCAACATACCATATAACCAACATACCATATAGCCATGATAACACATTACTTGTACTACAGTCCATTCGGATAGAGAAGTCCAGTTGGATTAGGAAATCCCGGTTTTGGCTGAATTAAGGCGTTTAAAACAAAACAACCCACTTTAAACGAAGCACCTCAACTGATGATGTAATCGCATACAAGTACTAGCAACCATGGTAACCTCTGTACATGTATACAAGTACTAGTAATAGTAACCTCTGTGCATGTATCAGTCTATACATCAATGTCATGACGAATAGGGATTCATCTTACTAACATTCAAGCCAAAAACCTTGGGACTTACAATTCTTTCAGAGATGGCATATTGGTGAACGCCTGGGGAGACAGCATGCGGATACGATTGCTATAGAGATTCCTGTTTGTCAGCACACAAACACACACACACACACACACAAATAAACAAATGCCAGCATGAGAAATAGCAACATCATCCATACTGGCATCACAACCCACCACCCCCACCATCGCCACCGCCATCACCACCACCACCACCACCACCACCACCACCACCACCACTACCATCACATGCCATCATGGCTATACAGAACACACTGCTACTTACAAAACTCTCAGCTTTGGTAAGCCTGCGAATTGGTTACCAACATTACTGAGTCGGTTGTTCCCCAGATTACTGCACATCAACCATACAAGAACATGAATCACAGACGGTTAGTACAATCATGCGGATCAATCCCAGTGCAACGCATTCACACAGACACGCACTGCTGTTCTATCAATATTGTGCCCAGTTACCAGGAACATCTGGACTAGCTAAAGTTTTATAGTGCCATACACTTCCATTCATCATACAGCTTGGACCAATACGTTAGCTGCGTGAATATGTCGTGTGCATGTGCCACGTGAATGTGGCGCAGATGAGGTGCATAACGATTGTGTGGTGTGTAACCTTACTTCAGCTTATCACATGCAATGCCAAGCGCACATACATACCCACAAACACACATACCCACAAACACACACACACACACACACACACACACACACAGTTAAGGTACTTACATTACAGAGATCTCAGAGGGAAAAGAGTTCTCCTTTACTTGCTTTATCCAATTCTTGTTCAAGTATCTAAGGAGAATCATCATCAAGAAAAGACCACGCACATTTCGCATGCATCATCTCCGGCACGTGCAGTGCAATCACAACACTAGTGTAACAACGGTTTATCTCAGAACTGTTCGTATTGTCTCCACTACCGCAAACGTAGGCGTAAAGTGCCGTTGATCCGCCCCCTCTCTAATTTCCATCCCCTGTTGAATTTCTACCTGGGAAGCGACTTCAGCGTGTGAATCAAAATACGGAGTTGATGGCGGCCTTGATCTAATTCCCATCCCCTGCTGAAAATCCAGCTGAAAAGCAACACAGCGGGGGTGGAGGAGGATCAACGGTATAATATGGTACATGTGTGATCTGTGCTGAGTCATAATTTAACAACTCTGCTGAACTTACAATGATCGTAGACTGTGTAGATGAGAGAACATTCCGGTGTGGATTCTAGTGAGGCGATTATCCTTGATTTGTCTGTAGGGCAGATAGCAATACCGTCACACAGCAAATGAGAAGAACGTAGTATGGCAATACCGTCACACAGCAAATGAGAAGAACGTAGTATGTCAGAGCTACAGTCCATTTCAAAACTATAGACGCGTACCTAGGCAAAAACTGTTATGCCAGCATCTATACCACATAAAATCTGTGATCACTTTGTGCATAAATTTTTCCAAATTGGGCGTCTGTTATCCAATCCTTTAGAAACTATATGAGAGTAATTGTGGAGCGATCCTGAGCAATATTCCGAAAACTGTTCTCAAAAAGTTCCAGCCAAATTTGAAATATTTCAAAAACCCTACGCGTCTATAGTTTTGAAATGCACTGTAGGTACCTGCACTCAGGGGGCTATGCTTTCTAAAAGATACATTTTGAAAAAAGAGGATACTAGAAATGCTGATAGTATCAATTCCATGTAAAACGGTTGTCAGGCTTCATTAGGGTACCTGGATGGTGAGGGCCCCATTGATTTTTTTCTGCAAAGGGCCCAACACGAAGGGTCACCACCGCACATACAGTCCAATTCATATAATTATACTGTGAACAGTGAACATTTGAATTGCACTGCGGAGGCTCCGCTTCATGTAGCGCTGTAGCGGCCCCTTCATTTTCTCTGCAAACCCACTAAAATTACCCGGATTTTGCTCTGTGCCACCAATGCCCCACTTACAGATGTTCCAAGGATGGCGGGAAGGCTTCCTTTCCGATGCGCTTAATCCTGTTGCCATTCAGATTTCTGAACAACAACAAACAAGCAAACACAAGCGTACAGAAGTTACAAAACACATTCAACTCATGATATCAACAGTTTTGATCATTCCAACAAAATTGCTCCTCAGCGATGTCCGGGCATAGTCATTAATGTTGATGTTGCAATGTGACATTTACTGAAGCTACATTGTGCATCTGTACATGCATCCCGGCAGTACTGATCCAGCATTTGAGCATGACTGAGGCACACATGAAGCAATGTATCCTTACAGTACGAGAAGGTTTGATTTCTGTCGGAACATCTTCTTATTGACGCCTGTCAGCCGGTTGTTCTCCACAGATCTAAAGCCAGCCAAAATTCACACAAGCACACGGATAGGTGCGTGTGCGCGCACACACACACACACACACACACACACACACACACACACACACACACACACACACACATGCAAGGAAATACATTACTTGTGAAGTTGTGACGCAATAGCCTGCAATACCCCCGTTGTTTAGATCCTGTGCAATGTAGTACAAGGTAGAAACATGTGTGTAAAGGGTAGAAGCACTGGAACTGAATCACTGGTGTGAGCAGCATTGCATCTTACAAGTGACTTGGGTCAACTTGAAATTCAGTGGGGACAGCACTGTTACACACTCTACTACTCTTAGTACACTAGTTAGCTGCTACACTGACCACACACTGAACGGCACAGTAGAGTAGAGAGCATTGGACCATTGGACTATCCACTTACAATGATTCTAGCGTCGGTGGCAGTCCGTTCTTGCTAATGCGTGATATCTGGTTGTCTTGTAGATACCTGTAGTGATAAACCGTGCAGGAATACAGAGCAGTGAGCAGTGAAGTGTAGATAGTCACATATCCACTGCATGTACATGTAGAACATGCACTGCATTGCCACACACACACAGGTATGACAATGCACTGTATGTGGGTATTGGTCTGGGAGCTGCACGGCTGAATACATGCATATACCACATTTTGTTTTTTGAATTATACTGAATACAGCAGGTACAGCACAACCATGTCTATTCTACATTGACATTGTGCAGAGTCAATATAACGAGAGCGTCGTGTCTGCTGCATGCCGCTGAGTGAACCGATGACAGCCCAGGAGATGTTCAGGAAGAACTTACAGTTCAATAAGAGGGTATTGGGTGAGTCCTTCAGCCATTGTGATCTGAGTTAGCCTATTACCATTGAGATGCCTGGAGAGAGAGAGAGAGAGAGAGAGAGAGAGAGAGAGAGAGAGAGAGAGAGAGAGAGAGAGAGAGAGAGAGAGAGAGAGGTGGAGGAGGAGGAGAAGGGGGAGGAGGAGGAGGAAGAAGAGGAGGAATAAGAGGAGGAGGAGGAGGAGGAGAAGGAGGAGGAGGAGAAGGAGGAGGAGGAGGAATAAGAGGAGGAGGAGAGAATTGAGAGTTCTTCATCCACATGATGTATAGAATGCTGAGTATTCTTAGAAATAAAGTAGAACTCACGCGGCTCCCTGACTTTTACAGTATCAGTTGATAGTAGCATGACACCATGTGAAATTGTACGTTCGACTACAAAATTTCCTGCACCATGATTATGTGGGAAATATGCACAATTTTGTGGATTTGCTGTGGGGTCACTGAGCCATGCCCATATATGCGGATCAGTACAATGGTTGATGTACTGTGGACTGACTATCATACTTACAGGTATTTGACATTGTGTGGCAGTTGAGGGATGGACGTTAGTTGCTTGTCACTGCAATCAATGAACAGGTCACCGTGCCATGTTGCACAAGAGCATTGCTTTGGACATTGACCTAACGCATAGAGACAAACACACGCACACAAACAGTACTGTGAGCCTCAACATAACTAGATATTGTTATTGCCCTCTGAGCCCAATCCATGCAGGGGGGGGGGGGGGGTGGCATAGAGAACTCCACTGAGTAAAGATCCAGGTGTCATAGAAAGCAGTTTTCCTAAATGTAGATGAGGATACTCGTGGCTGTGTAGATGACGTTCGGCCTGGTTGTGATGTGCGGATATGGCCTGGCCATAGGCTAGGGCTATCTCTGGGAGGCCTCTTTAGCAATCAATGTTGGATAGGGAAAACCCGCCATGCTCCTACTATAATTATAAACCCACTGGGTTGGACTCACTGTGGCTTGCTTGATGTGTAAGTTACTGTTGGTTGCAACCCCCTCCCCCCCCCCCCACACACACACAAACATCTTACCCATTCACTGTCTCAAATGTAATCCAATTTGAGGCAAAGTAATACTTATGGGGCACTGCCAGATATCACAAGACACTCTATACACACATGATAGCATTCTGCTAGTACAGTAGTAGTAGTAGTACAATACAATCATGTAGTGCTAGTGCTTTACATATAGGTTAGAGATCTCTTTGTGCATGTAGCTGACTGTACATGATCACAAAGCAGGAACATGTCCTTGTCTAAATCAATACTTTCACTCGGCTTTCTTCTATCATCAGACATAGCCTTGCTTCACCCAGCCAGGTATCTAATCCAACAGGCTGAACTGCATGATGCCCTGACGTCATCTGTCTGCATTTCCTGCCACCTACAAGATGGCTGGGCTGACACAAGGACCACTTACCATGCCATAAGCTTGTATCATCATGCATGGCACTAGGGGCCCTGCCATCCCCGGTGTCCTGTATCTGTTCATAAAGTCTCCTACCTACTTTGACGTACATCACATTTCGCCTGGGGCACAAGCTCAACCTATCCTGATGTCTGCTTCCACAATGACAAGAGCGACCCATCTCAGATAGACATAAGTTATGTTGTGATCACTGGGAAAAGACTAGTGGTAGACTAGCTGATACAGCAAACTACCATGTACCATGTAGGCATGGGGCAGCACAGCAGAGAGGCATCCTGACGAACTACCAATCCCAAACTGGATCAACAGCAGCCGGCTATGCAGGACTGACTGCACGTGTTTGTGGTAGGAACTCTCTAACTCTTTAACATCACGGCTAATATAATAGCTTGAAGCTTCACTGCCCTCTCTAACCAGGAAAGGAATTCACTTGTAAACTGGGGTCTGAGGGTAGAAGTATTGCTGACAGAACTTAGCAAATAACCTGATAGAGGCGTTATTCCGTCCCCGGTGCTATCTGCCTATCTGCCCGCAGACAGGTCAAGTATTCCTGTAGTCACTGGGTATAGGATTTCAAAGTGACTGATCCCTGTTCATATTACATGTAACATAGCCAGGGCAGCAGCTGATGGGTCGGGGCTGAATGATCACGTGACCACTGCGGCCCAGTGAAACCCGAACACTGTATCTACACTAAAACTGTGCGGCTAACAGAGAGCCGGAGAGCCGCCCGGCATTGTGATATTGCTTCAGCTCTACTTGTCAGTGTGGTGTTGTTCACCGGGGATCACGAACAGTGCTTGTCGCGTGGTCAACTGGTAGACAAGGGCCGTGATCCACTTGATCAGCACCTTTCCCCTTACACCCGGTAGAGGAAACTCAAATATCTCGTAATCCTATCACATGGCAGGTTTCGACTATCCATTCAATGCCATTGCCTTTCTTGCTAAGCATGGTCACTCACAAGCACTTGTGCCTGGTATACTTGCACTTGCAGCACTTGCGCAGCTACAGTGTTGCCAGTACATGTACCTTGGCTTTACTGCCAGTACTGGTGTTACATGGACTAGCTGCTACCCTTCTCAAATCTCATGCTGTAGCCGGAATTAGCAGCAGGGGATTGTATTGTCAGGCCAGTACAGCAGGGCATTGCCAGCTTTGTGGACACCTGATTGCACGGTTTAACGCCCGGAGGGTGAACGGAGGGTGAACGGTATTACGATCTGACACAACACTCTTCATGCAGTCACACAATCTGCCTAGTGTCTGCATGCACAGTATCAATGACAAGAAGCCATCAGCCAGCACAGGGCAACATCTGGAAATCTCAGTTCGTCACTCTAAATCCGAAGAGAGGATAAAGTGCTGTAACCACTGTCCTTGTGTGGACTGCAGAGCAGCAGAGTCACACTCCAATACTCTCATGGACAATGAAACATAGATACCAGCGTACACGATGTACACACAACCTACTTGGCCACACACAAGAGATAACTCACTAATTGCATTCGCCTGTCAATAACAATACTTAGAAAGTTTCTAAGATAACCAGTGTGACAATGGCCTCTACCCCAGTACATGTGACCTGAGGCATTATCAACAGGAGTTTCATGATTCTTCTCCAGAGCTGATCTGCACATCAAGTCACCACACTTATAGCAATTTACACTGTGGTTTTGCACAATCCCCCCCCCCCCTCTCTCTCACACATACTGGTTCAGTATCAATTCAATGTTCAAGTCTAAAGCATCCTGGACATCCACAAGGAAACCAGCAAACAAGGAGAGAAGCTACATCCAAAGCAGAAATTTTGCTCTGAGACTACCAATTACTGCATTCCTGAACACTATCTGAAAGTGAATGGAATGTGATGTGTACTGATTTGCAGCACTTTTTTGCTTGGGCTTATCATGATCAAAGTTTGACAATTCGGCTCCTCCTGGTAACTGGTGCAAGTACATTCACAAAGCAGCTCAAACTTTCAAGGTATTCTTTTCAGGTCTTTATCAGCCTGAGAGTGTATACCAGGAGTGTGCTGCAGACTTGGAGCATAGTAGCATTGGCATGGGATCATCACTCTAGACTGGTCAGTCTCTGTCTGTACCATATCTCTCTATGATGGCATGCCGTGCGAACAAGTGACACAATCACAACACACCTGGGTTTTTCTCTTGCCGACAAAGGACTTCAAGCCAATGCAAACCTTATCATCAAAAATAGTATACATGATGACATGGCATCATCCATTCCCTCGGTAACTTTTAATGATGATCCTGATCCTCGTATTTTCACTGACAGGCAATACTTGGGATGAAATTATCCCTGGCACACCCTGAGCATACATTGCAATGCTATTGAAATCAGCTGGATGTTCCCATGATCTTGCAACCTGTACAGGATCACACGCACTATCATGGACCCACGTCAACCTGCACCACTGAGCTACTGCCTGGGACATGCAAGTGTGCGGATATTCACACCTGCCTCCCCAACTGCAAACACTACAAGGTTTTGCAGGAAGCCTGCTTACCCTGGCTTTGTCATTTCCCACTACAACTGTAAGCTGATAGTTGTGAGGCGCAAATGAATCCAATCACACAGTGTTGAAGGCGATGCCTTTGTTCCTTCACATCATGCACTGTACACTGTAGCTTTAGTGGAGCAGCAGAATCCTGGCTACCAAGTGCAGCAGTGGGATCCGGACCAGCTGCACTTACACTCCAGCAAGTACCCAATTATGTCACAGAACACACATGGACCAGGGAGTACAGCCTGCTCACAGTCACGTATTGTCTAGATTCCATGCAGCTCACCAGGTGCTCATCAGAGTCGGGAGCTCACATCACCCAGCACACATGTGTGACATGGCCATGCAGCAGGATTGTAGTGCAAAAGTAAGGAGACTAAGGAGGATGCCTGAGCAGTGGCGCATGGCATGGCATGGCAATGGCTCAGTTTACAGGGGAACACATACTGACATGTCGGCAAACTCACACTAGGCACTAGACAGGTTAGCCTACATTAGCCTACAAACAGCTGCATCCAGTTTTGACACTGTACACATACACACAGGCACACAGGTGAGGGAATGCCAGCCAAATATGCACTCCTAGTCCTATCAAAGGTTTTTGCTGCATCAGTATCAGTTCTAGCCTGTGCTCTGTATGCAACCTTCCTGAATCTTCATTTAATCACTTGCACATGTACATAGCCATAATGGGGAACCGGAGAGCTGACTGCTGCATATCCAGCAGAGAAGGGCAGTGGAAACTAGATAAGTCTGGAATGCTCAAGTCCCAAAAACATCTGCCAGGGCACAGCATGAAAGCAAACTGCCGACCAGCCCTCCACACTGCTCAGTCTGATGTTCCATAGTTGTATCATGACGTCGGCATACACAAACACACATACACGCATGGCTAGACTAATTGTTACACTGAGTGCTGCATTTGAGTGAATACCGGCTGGAGTACAGGTCCCAGCCACTGACTCCAATTCACTGGACTGCTCAATCTCAGTAGTAATTGTTTATGATGAGCAGAAGCCCGGACCACCCAGGGACAAGGCACTTTGTACCTGCTGAGAGAGAACATGGAACACATGCTCCACCGCCCGGTCTACTACTAGGTAAAGATCATACACTACATGCCTACATGTGTGTGTGTGTGTGTATGTGTGTGTGTATGTGTGTGTGTGTGTGTGTGTGTGTGTGTGTGCGCGCGTGTGGTGTGGTGTGTGTGCGCGTGGTGTGTGGTATGTGAAGGTCCTAGGCTAAATCCGTGCATGTATTACCAGTGCTTAGACCTGTACATGTATTTTTATAACTGACCAGTACAGGCTACTGTGACTGTGAGTGTGAGTAAAAGAATGCCCAATCTACAATCTAGGCTGACTACTTACTGCATGCAGGTGAGTGGTATGGCCGGTGGACACTCTATTCTAATCATGACATACACACTGGTATGGAGTCTCTATGCCCAGTACATGTACAGGTGATAATGGTCAATACCCGGACTACCAACACCAGCCAGCCACCAAGACCCAAGCTGAGCAGCCACCGGCTATTAGTAACCCTGGCTACACCCTACACAGTTACAGGGTTCAATCATGCCCTTGCCACTGCGGTCGTTGCTCTATGTACACCAGCTAGCAACAGATACACATGATGACATTGTGTAGATCCATCGACATTGACTGTCAGGAATATCCGTGAAGGGATATATTTTAGAAATGGATCAAGGTCTGATGCCAGTTTAACAGTACATGTAGCCATCTTTACTTCATACTTGTACACAAATCCAACTAGAGACTGTGACTGAGACTGTGACTGTGACTGTGACCACACTACTCAGTTACTCCTAGGCTTGCTATACACCTTCCGGCCGTATTTTCCTTTCTTAAGTTTGTTATATGACGAGTGAAATAATCCTCAAAGCTGGCACTAAACCGGTCACCATTCACCACTGCTGCCATGTACTTCGAAGTACGTAACACTAGTGCGCTGAAGGAAGGAAATATAGAGCTGAAAAACAATGCCATGAGTCAAAGTGCTAGAAATAGATGCAGCAGATGTCCTTATAGAGACTCTACTGTTGCTCTAAGCTGACTTTCAAAGTTTCAACAAACTCCACATTCACAGCCATGTTACATATATATTATGTAGGTATTCATACTCCAAAGTACCACTGAGCATAAACCGGAAAGTGGAAGCAAGCTCGTCTTTAGCCAGCTGTTAAGAGAATGAAAGCTGAGGACCGTGTAGCCCATCACCATTTTGACGGCGCATACATGTACAGCCTTACACAATGTGCTTCACTACATTGCTTATCTGCATTTTGTTTAGCCTACTACTGCTATCGTAGTGTACGTGTGTAGCTGCTGCTTGTCTGGAAGCACATGTACTAGTACCCACCTAAGGCTACAACTACTAGTAGTACTACAGTCAAGTAGCACAGCCTGGTATACTGTCTGCATCATACATGAACATGTCCATGTAGGCTTGTAAGCTTGTAGGATACCAGGGAATGGGCTGTCTACCCTAGACACAGGTATTACTTGATGTGTTCTAGTTTGGTAACCAGTTTTGACATCAACTTGTTCACCCAGGCCTACACAACGGTTAGGTATTACTATTAGCTGAGCAACTGGTCTCCCATATACCACAGTACAGCATCAGGGATATACAGTGTAATGTTACTGCTGATCTCCTGGGCAAGGATGACCACTGTGCCATGTGTGTTGTAGATATGGAACTGGTCTGGGCTATGTTAATGGCCAGTACTGAATCACACCCATGTCTATAATCCTGTGCTGATTGTGCTTGGACTTGACTTGGCCTAGGAACAACAGTCTTACAGAGATGATAGAGTTGAAGTGCACTGACTTCAGGCATGCACACTACCTTACCCAGGCTACCAAGTACTGCAGTATTCCCACCAGTGACGGTTTGGATAAGATGTTTTCCATAACTAATCAAAAGACAATGCAAACATTACTTCAGCCTTAGCCTGGCCTGGGAGACTGGCAATGGTCATAGGTTTTATGTGATTACTTCCATTCAGAGCTTCCTAAGTTATGCTCGTCTCTCTTCCTGAGGTCACTACCCACTACTGATCCACTAATCCGCAAATCCACTTCACCGTCTTCAGTGGAGATTACCATAATTATTCTTTCTTGCAGGTACGCCGCCACTCTCCCCTTCCATCACGATCATGAGAGGCGGTC